TGCGCATAATACCATTGTACAGGCGTGTCACTGCCGCTATTGTGCGCGGCGGCAGATGGTGCAATGCCGTATTCGTGATATTATCGCTGCCGGGGGCTTTTCGAGGCTTCGTTTTTATTATTTCACGGTGCACTTGTCCCGGCGTGAACATCACCGGGTTTTCTTGCGGCGTTAGAGGCAGAGCCAGGTAGTCGGTGATGAAATTGACCACCATTGCAGCACGTTCGGTATCAACGGTCGGGTTAGGCCGAAACTGACGCTCCAAATGGTCGGCGTGTATTTCCGCACGGTCTGCTGCGCGGTACCTCGGCGTCATGTCGCACGCCATTAGTGCTCGGACTGGAGACTGGTATTTGGACAGCCGACGACATAAGCGGTGTATGCTATTCCAGTCGTCGCCGGCGTCTTCTAGGTATCGATCGCAGCTCTCGTTCCTATGGGACTTGATGTCTCGCTTAATTTCTTCCGCGAGTTTATTCAACCTCGCCTTAAGGCTGGTGCATTTTGTCCACTGCCAGTCTCTACGTAATTGATGTTTCTGTTCGAGCTTCTTTTTGGTTGCTGCCGGGATCCGTTCATTGGTCCTGTGTACGTACGTACAGGTCCCGGCTGGGCTGCGACCCTCATTGCCTGTTGCATAGAGACTGACAGGTCTCTGGCGTGTTGGTCTATATCAGAAGGGGTCGAGGCGGCCGTCTTGGGCGTGTTTTCCTACATCGAGTCCCTGTATTTTATCCAATCGTTCCGGCGGTGGATGTCCTCGAGAAGGAAGGACTTCCTGCGTCGATTGGCTATCTAGACCTCTGTATAGGGCGAAGTCTAGAATGTCGGGCGCTTGCAATGTGTTGTATGTAGGGATAGTGAGTTGGAACCTCTGGTCCGTGAACGGTGATATCCATTCTCTCAGCTATCCGTAGTAGCGATATTCCATTATTGGTGTCAGTGTTTGAGTTCCATGCCGTGTAGGCGTATGTATGAGTATTATTTACTTAGTTTACTAGAAGAATTAGACATTGGTTTGACATTATCTAATTCTTTAAAAAAAATTATCTAGCCCGCTCAGTTCATTCTTCCATATGTTATCGATTTTCTCTCGCTGCTGCCTGGCCATTTCTACCATTAGGGGGATTGAAATTTGATTGAACCAACAAATAAATGTTGTTTGGCAACCGTGCAGCATACCGTGCGGAAATCCACGCCGACCACCTGGAATGTAGATACCGACCATGCTGCCATGGTGGTTAACTACATCCTGAACTACCTGGCTCCGCCTCTAGCGCCACACGAAGACCCGTGTGGTGTTTACGCCGGGACAAATGCAGCGTGAATTAAGAAAAACGAAGCCTCGGAAGGCCCCTGGCAGCGATAATATCACGAATACGGCATTGCACCACCTGCCGCCGCGCACTATAGCGGCAGTTACACGCCTGTACAATGGTATTATGCTCACAGGGCATTTCCCAAACACATGGAAGATAGGCAAAGTTATCACGCTGCCTAAGCCCGGCAAGAACGTATTGCAACCGGAATCGTACCGGCCAATTACGTTGTTGCAGCATGTGTCGAAGATGTTTGAGAGATTACTCCTCAAACACATAACCACCTACATCAAGCCCAGACAAGAACAGTTCGGGTTCAGAGCCGAACATTCCACCACCCTGCAGCTGATTAGGATACTGCACACGATCACTGCAACGATCAACAAGAGGGATGTCGCCGTTGCAGTATTCCTCGATATGGAAAAAGCTTCGACAGGGTCTGGCACGACGGTCTGCTGTACAAGTTGGCCATCCAGACGGAAATGCCAAGAAGGCTCATCCAAATGGTGGCCTCCTTCCTCAGGAATCGTCGGTTTATGGTGGCGGTTGAACAAACCTGTTCGGGTGAGCGTCCCATTCGAGCGGGCGTCCCTCAAGGTAGCTGCCTATCGCCTGTGCTTTATGCGCAGTACACCGACAACATCCCAACAACAGAGCAAACCACACTGGCGCTCTACGCCGACGATGCAGTATACGCCACGAACTCGCTAAACAACAATCACGCGGCGTCAAAAATACAAACAATATTAGATGCCCTGCCAGAATGGCTGAATAAATGGCGCCTGTCGGTGAACGTGCGCAAGACACAGGCGATCACAGTCAACATGAGAAAAACTCCACCGCAGCTACGCCTGCTCGGCTCCCCAATCGAGTGGTCCCGCACCGCCATCTAATTAGGGGTGGAAATCGACCACCGGCTGACTTTCATAACGCACATCAGAAAGGTCCGCCAAAAGGCAAGAACAGCCAGGTACCTGTTGCGTCCGGTACTCGTCAGAAACCTCCCTCTCCAGATGAAAATGGGAATATACAAGACGTACATCCGCCCGCGTATAACTTATGCCGCGCCGGCATGGTACGCATTCGTCAGTGAATCGAACAGAAGAGCTCTCGAAGCACAGCAACACCTGACGCTGCGTACCCTGACCGGTGTGCATAAGTTCGTCTTTATAAAGAAAAGAGAGTATGTGTACATTAAGTCGGAGCTGAAAAGGAAGCCATTTTAACTGTTTTCTGTAGTGAGAAACATGGTTGAATTTACGTATTCCAAATATAAAACGAATACAGAGATTCAGGAGACGTTCTAGTTTGTTCTGAAGTTCAATAGTGGAATCAAGAAAACAAACATCCGCGTAATCAAGAATAAGTAGAAGGAGTGTGTGACATATATTGATCTGTTTTGATAGGAAAAAAGTTTTGGAGACGTTTCAAAGAGTGAACGGCTGCGTGCATTCTTTTACTGATAAAATTAATATGGGATAACCAGGAAAGATCACGATCAACAAGTAGGTATTCCTAAATTCTTTACCGAGTTAACATAGGTAATTACGCTCCCATCATAGGTTACAGGCGGAACATTGGTAGAGTCTAGCATATTTAGCATATACCTGCTGCCAATGATAATACATTGAGATTTTTTAGCATTAACAAGCAAATCATGAGCTGTAGTCCACTCAAAAATTTGCTCAAGGTTATTATTATTTATCGTAGCAATAGCGTGATTGATAGAAATAATGTCGAAACAGCGGTACAACTGCAGATCGTCAGCATAGAGATGGAAATGACAAGAGAGTACTTTAGTTAAGGCGTTAATAAAGATGGAAAAAAGTAGGGGAGAGAGTACACCACCTTGAGGTACGTCCTCTTAGATAATTAATAAACCTTCCTAGTTACAACGAGCAATATATATTTTGGTTATTAATTTACTGCATATAATCGTATATAGGTTGATATTGCTAGAAAGTCAATTCACATTATTTCCTCGTATAGCCATCTATTGACAGCAACCGATATTTAACAATAATAATTAGCATACGGTCCATTTACTTGCCTCAACACAATACACAAATTATAGATAATTGCTTGATTACTTCATTACATGACAAGATATGACAGTAGTATAACAAAATTAAACTATTAATTTATAATATTAAACTATTAACTTTATAATATTAACGCTATGTCCGTTACCAATTAAGAGTCAAAAGTCACTCAATTCATAAATATAGCTCTAGCATCATTCGCTAAATTGTGTACATATTTCTATAGACTACTTTCTTCTTAGTATTTCAATATTTCATTTTTATTTTACATAATTATATATAACAGATTCATATATAATTTATTTGCAAGTATATATTATTATTATATATTATTAAAATAGATATATATATATATATATGTATATATTATTTGTAAGTAATACAGCGCAACAATAGATATTATCTATATCTGTAAGTAGCTGTTTGTATTATACGCAAAATATAGTAAGCTACATTATAAACGAGTAACTAGGCTATATTAATATATATTTTTTATTTACCCGTGCGAAGTCGAGATGGAGGTCGGTAGTTATAAAATTGTACGTTAAAAGCGCACATAAACATTTGTAGTTTACGCTCTTAATTTTAAAATTGCAAAATTATATCTACAAATCTTGAATTACTTGACAGCTAAGAGGCCATGATAATTCTACACTACAATAAATACATTTCTTAATTTAATGCATCATATCCAAAGTATAACTTAATAATTGTAATACATGTTAATAAATAATAATAACGTTTATAATTAATGTTATATGTTGCTTCTTTTTGTAAGTACTTTTTATATTTAAACTGTTTTTTTTTTTACATTTGAATTTTATATCATGTTATTGAATTATAAAAAGCAAATCGAATCAAATTGAAAAAGCCCATTTTTGTTATCTGTTTATTTAAATAAATATATTTATTAATGTTTTACTTTTTCATTATAATAATAATAATAATTCTTTATTTGGAACAAAAACATTGGTTACAATATTATTGAAAAACGATGATATCCGCAGAAGTATGAAACTGTTATCTGTTTATATCATTATTACATTGAATACGCGACTAGACAGAGATAAAAAGTAGCCTATATCCTTTCCTAGTTGATTAATTAACCAGTTAAATCGTCAGAAGTTAACGATCAAACTCATATTCAAATTTATATTATTAGTAAAGATTCAATACATACAAAACCCAATAATTTAAACAAATAATTCAACCTATGAAATTTTATATTCGTATTAATACATTTAAACGACTTCTCTTATCAGCTATATGCGATATACAACTTTGGCCTTACCTGCAGTTATTGCTATTGAAGTAAAATGGCTGTCACGTTGACTAATTACTGTGGCCACGCTATGATAAATGTTATCATTAACAGATAATGAAATTACTTAAACGGCGTGTATTGTATTTATTAACAATATATATTCCTTTATGCTTTCTAATGAATAATTAGTAGATGTAATCAGTGTAATATGACAATTGGTTATAATTATTGATATCGGTTTACACATACATTAACTTAGTATTAAATAATAAAAATATTGTATAACTCACCATACTCACCATTCTTTAATAATGAGTCATTTAATAGTATCATTACTTTAATGATAATTTCAACATAAATTTCTTTTTGTTCCAGAAATTGATCATGTCACATGCCACGACGTAGAAGAATGGAAATGTTGATAATAATTACTTTAAAGACAGAGACGGTGCTTAGACTACTTAGGTATAATAAATACATTTTATGTGTATGTTACCTAAATTATTTGCAGTACCTATGAAACTTGGCTATTGAAAAGGGGTTACGTATGAAACTAGATAGTAATCTTCCGTAAATATTAAAAAGGAATTTTGGATATTTATATAAGAAAAAAAGGTGTATCTACTTGGTAAGCGTAAGAAAATTAATAAAATAATTTCAGTCAACTATAAACCAATTCCATGTATTGATCTATCTGAATGTAGACAATTCTTGATGGTATTAAATATGTATCTGTAAAAATAGAGTTAGAATCTATTTATGTTACTTGCCTAGTCAAAATTAAAAATTATTAGTGGCTAACTTTAATAAAATAAAATATAATTATTATATATTCTTTATTATATATTCTTTATTGCACTAAAACATACAGTAACAACAATAAGTTAATAACAATGTTAGCAAAGGCGAACTTATCTCTAAAAGAGATTTCTTCCAGTCAACCTAACGCAGTGGCATAGGAAGTAGTGAGTGGGCAGTAGTAGTGCAAGACAGAAATTTAAATAAATATTTACATAAATTATAAATAATTATATATATACACATATATATACATACATACATACACACACACATATATATATATATATTAGTTTTGTAAATTTGTAAATATATACAAAATTTATATATATATATATATATATATATATATATATATATATATATATATATATATATACATATACATATACACACATACATACACACGTTAAATACAACATATAAATATCAAATACAAGAGAACACAATGATGACAGTCTTCTAATCATTTTTATATTTAAACTAAATTGGAAAGATAGAATGATTTTAATCTTTTTTTGAAGGAACTGCTAGACGGTTATCAGTATATTTAAAATATTAAGAAAGTTTTATTTGAATATTCGCGACTGTAGTAATTATTTGTATTGCAAGAATATTTACTATGTACGAATGGTAAAAAAAGAAACTCCTTTAGAATAAAAATTGGATGTAAATCCGTCTGCAACGATTAAATGTATCAAAGTGAAAAGTTATTTTATTCCTTTAAAAAATAATACCCTTTCTAACCCGGTTAATATTTAAGAATCATTAATTTTCTCAGTAAATGACGAGGATTCAAATCTTGAAAATTAATAGTCTCTACTTTCTTGGTAGGGAGGAGGGATTGTTAGTAAAGGGGTAGTTAGTCCCCATTGCTATCAATATACCATTAGGTCGACCTCTACGCGGTTCCCCTGGAAACTATCGTGACTAATTTATTGTTAAATTCCTCACGATAATTCGGCTAATTGACCTGCCTTTCCTTTTCACCTATTATCTTTCACTGGTGCCCCACCAGTGTAAACCGATAGCGCAGGCGGAGTTACCATTCCATTATAGTCCATTAAAAAAAAATTCTTGGCAAGACCCTCGCATTACTGTGTGCCTTAATATAATAAACTAGCGGCCCGTCCCGGCTTTTTACAACATTTAACATGGGGACATTTTTACAACATTTAACATTTTTTTATGATGATGAAGTTTTTTGTAGTTATTGATATTTTCTTCAATATTGTAGAACATACTTTTGTTCTATCACCAATAGTTTCCGTAGCGCACGCGACGAAAGATACTTTATAGCATTTTTTTACACCTTAGGTTACGTTACTAAAGTTTTAGTAAGGATCCCTAATCTTTTAGAAATAAATATAGCCTATATTATTCAGGGTGAATGTAGATTTCTAATAGTGAAAGAATTTTTGAAATTGACTAAGTAGTTCTTTCTACTAAGGAGTTTATTCATTATAAACATACATACACACAAAAATACAAATCTTTCCTCTTTATAATATTAGTGTAGATGCCAAAGTGCAAATTCGTCACGAGATATCAGTCTCAAGGTTGTTTACGCTTTCATGGAAATATACCTACATAAATATGAGGATGAGGTCGATACGTTGTATTTCGGTATTTGTTCGGGAGAATAATAAGCTAAATGTAAATAATGAAAAGGGATCATAAGTAGATCTGAATACCTTAATAATTTTTTTCACACAATTGTTCCCTAATATAAATTACAGAGTATTGAGTAATTTTAATGAATAAAGATGAAATGGTGTGTCTGTCTACGCTAACAATGTACAATGACGAGGTGCCTGCGGAGGATGGAAGGGTAAAGCGATAAAAATGAAACTAGGTCAGTTAGCCCATAGTGGCCAATACGCTTTTTATTATCCACGATAGCTTCCAAGCTTCTCGTATTACTAACATTCTCTTTCCTTTTTTAAATAAATATAATGTACAATGTTACAAGGGACGTATCAAAATAATTATTCGCCATTTACGAAAACGTGTTCATATTGTCCTAAATAACATTGTTAGAAAAAACGTTTTCGCTACAGCTGTAGAGGTTGCTTCACGGTACACATAGGTGTTGCGGTTTTTAACCAACTTAAAAATAATGGAAGTTCTCAATTTGTTTGTATTTTTTATGTTTCTTACCTCTTAGCTCCATCAGCTGCAAACCGATTTAGAAAATTCTTTATTTTTATCTGAAATAATAGTAGCAGTAAGTACCAAGGATCCTTACAGATTGATACCGTAGAAATTTTATCAAAATCTGTTTAGTAGTTTAAATTTTAAATCAAAATAACTGGTTTTATCACAACATCGGTTTTTTTTTGTAAACAATCTTAATTATTATGCATAGACAAACAATTATGCGGACACAACTTACTTGGTCAATAGAGATACTAACTTACTGAATTTTAAATTAAAATAAAAATCGGAACATAAAACTGTAGAAAAGATATGTCTCTACTGTATACCTATAGGTTACATATATATTTTTCAAGTTTCAGTGATGTAAGACGTACGATGTAAGACGCATAGAAGCTAAATCATTTTTATAATAACAAAATATTTAGCAATATTTAAGATGGCTTCACTACAGGCCACACTTAAATGGCAATAAGCTACATTTTATAAAAAAGAACACAGATTGTGTAAAGCTTAAATAAAGAAATTCCACAAAACTATAACTGACTTCAGTAGTGCCAAAACCAGTTATTTGGTTTGAAAAAATAAAGTACTGAATCGAGTTTGATAAAATTTCTATGGGAGCAATCTATAAGTATATTCTTTCAGATAAAAAAAAAGACTTCCAAATCGAATTACTGACGAAGTAATGAGTTAACAAAACAAAAAAAACTAATTAAGAACCTTTTTCTTCTTGAAATCGGTTGAAACAAGTAGGTAAAATAGGGAAGGGAATACAGGTAATATCAGAGGAAGACAATGAGGAAAAAATCATATATGTGGGCATTTGTTACATTTTGGCGTCTAACAAACAATCGTCATAAAATTTGGCATGGATAGCCATGAATTGAAGCTAATTTTTATTCTGGTCAATCGATTATATATCTCGGTCAAGCAGGCAAAGCTGCAGGCCCTAGTAATCTATATAAGAAATTACACTTAGGTATATAACTATGTGTGTGGTCTTCCGTTTTTATACAGAAATTTACTAAATAGTATATGCATCTAGCGGCAACCTATTTTTTTTTTTTTTTTTTGGTGGATGAAAATGGAATGGTAACTCCGCCTACGCTAACGGGATACGTTGGCGGAGCACCAGTGAAGGGTGATCGATGAGAATGAAAACCAGGCCAGTTAGCCCATCATGATCAATTCATCAGGAATTAACCATGATAGTTTCCAGGGGGAACCGCGAGGAGGTCGACCTGGTTGGGTATATTGCTAGCAATGGGATTTTTAGTCTCCATTACTAACAATCACTTTCCCCCCAGCGGCAACCTATTATATTTCATGAAGTTTTGTAGTTTAGTTGCATTTTCTACACAATGCATCATCAGTTAAATTGCCTTACAACAGCTGTCTGGTAAAATCCAACGGCCGTCAAACCAGTCAAACGTGAGATGACGTCATATCATAGGAAACAACGGCTGTCGCAGTGTGGGGTTAGTGCGTCACCTCGCTTGGCCTGACGCCATTGCCAGTCTGTGTTCGCGATAATAAGCTTTATATATGTCTACCTAAGGAATATTTTACAATAATAGCAAATAAATTTCAGATATCTACTGACTGAATCATTTGTAAATAAGCACATATCTAACTGCGCCAAAAAATTCATTGTTACGTCTTTAAATCGAATAATAACTATTATTAAATTACTAAATGATATTGATAAAATTTAAAAGTACTATATTTAAGTATTCTCACATATAAGTAGGTAGATATACATATGTTAAATTTCATGACGGTTGATTGTAAAAAATAAGGCCCCAAAAGCATCACAAAATAACAAACTTCCATATTTATAATAATATTCTTAAGAACCATAACTTTTCTATGGATAGGAAACAAAATTCTCACGGGGTGAGCTTGGTGTCGCTTTACGTGGAAATAAACGAGAGCGTCATGACCCTCTGTCCTTTACAAACACATTATTTTTACCTGGAACCATTATAGCGAACAATGACATTATAACAAAAAAAAAATGAAAAGATTCGAACAATAGATTTCCGACATAGTTTTAAGAAAAAAATCTTTATTACGACCTTCTCGACGGCATACCTCAGTACCTATCTACCAGTTTTATAACTGTCAGGTCTCTGTTGTGTTGTTTGTAAACGAATAATAATTTTGCTAATACCTGCCTACCTGCTTAGTTCATTATTATTATTTATCCTACGTTATGATAATGTAAGTAGGCACGTATGAAGTTAAAAGGCATATGGTATTTTAATATTTTAGGCAATAAATACATGTGGTAATTAATTTACATACCTTAATTTAGACACCTATCTATATATTTTCATAGATTTATACAGAACAAAAAATCCTATGTTTGATAATCTAAGTGTGCTAATGACTAATGCTTACTATATAATATAAATGTAAAAGTATGTTTTTTGTTACCTTATAGAGCCTTAATGGCTTAACTAATCACTATGAAATTTAGTATACACGTACCTACTGCAATATGGGATGGATATAGGCTACTTTTTATTCCAGTCATCCGAACAAAGTCGTGGGTAAAAGCTAGTTTCTAATAAAATTCATTTGTATAAACGACGAATTTAATGAGAATTCATCGCATTCAGAAAAATAAATTTACTTAAGTAAATACCAATATACTATTCCTACGAATGCAACTAGTATTGCATTGCGATCTGATAAAATAATTATTTAGTTATTTATGATAAAACAAGTACAGTAAGTAAATAGATTCTTAGCCTAATGTGAAAAGTATGGATTTTTCTAGACTTCCATATAGTTCTTACTGCAGAAAAGGGGCTCAGCATCTTTCAACCCAATCCTCCCTCCTACCTACCCCATACTTCTGTTCTTTTTTTATAACAATGCGCATGGTACGTTCGTTTCGGATATATGCTGTTGATCTAAACGTGTCTGTTTTGCTTATTATTACACAACTAAGCAATGTTTAAATTACTTTATAGACATCTTAGGTATATTTTAAAATAATTTTTAAACATCGCTACATCCTGAAAAGGCGTACTTGTAATTTTATCTATTATAGAATATACCTGCATATACAAGTAAAGGTGAAATAATAAGTGAATTGATTTCGTTACAACACTGTAATATATGGAAAAATTTGTAATTTTTTTATATTTGTTAAAAGTTACAAACAATTTTAGCTCATTTTTATTATCGAAGTAATAGTATTTAATCAATCAATCAATCATCTTTATTCATATACATCTGTTACAGATTCTTATGATACGTCATTTTATAATTATAATAATTACCATATAAAATAATATTGATTTAAAAAAAATACAATAATTACATTTACAATACAATTCACATTAATACAAAATTCAAATCCATGCAGTTTTGTCATTTAGATAGTCATTTAATTTATAATATGCTTTTGTACAGAGAGTCCTATTTATATATGTCTTAAATTTTCTTTCATTTAAATGTAAAACGTCATCTGGAAGTTTATTATAAAAACGTATACAGTTCCCCATGAAAGATGTACTGACTTTTCTAAGGCGATAACAAGGAACATTCAATTTGTTTTTATTTCTTGTATTGAAATTATGTGTGTCACTATTATTTTTAAAAAGATTTATATTTTTACGTACATACATAATGTTTTCGTATATATATTTCGAATTAATAAACAAATAAGTAATTAAAATTAGTGTGTAACTAGGTGCTTTTGTCTATTTATAACTAAATACCATATAAAGGCATTATTTATTTATAATTTATAACTAATTATGTTTGTAATATTTTGTTATCAAGATAACCCATATCAGAATAAGTATCATTTGCTTATTAATTTGAACTTGCAAAGTTCAAAATTATTTAGTAAGAATCTACTTATTAATTATTATGTATGGAGACATTATAATTAAATTCCGACGAAGTTGAAAATTATAATAGAAATAATATTTTCAAATATAAAATGAAACTAGCAGTAACTAGTGAATAGAAACTCTATCAGATTATACATTTTATAAAAATGAAAAAAAAAATCTAAAGTTATGTTGCTCAAAAAATACATAAATATTGAATGTACCAGAACATTATTCCGAAACATATTTATTGATCGTCTATTCTTACTCATTTTCGTCCCCCTCTATCTGTAGAACGAGGGGGACCGCCGCCGCCATTTTGCAGACAACTGCGCAGCTTGTCCTCGTTTGCCCACGGCTATATAAGGCCTTCATGACGTCAGCGCCCACATTCATTCCTCAGCGTTGGTGCAATTTAGACGTGAGTTTGTGTCGTGCAGTGACAAGTTTTTCAAGAAGTGAATTCTCTATAGCCTGTTGGATTCAGGTGTGTAATATTGTCTCAGCAGTATTTTCTAACCCATTTTACCTATAACCATGGGTTACATTACAAATGATAAATCTGTTGTTGACTTTTGTGAGAGTAAAACCGAATCACTCTCAAATTGGGTCCGTCAAGTAAAAAGTAAATCTCTCAGTGCCAAGACAAAGAAAAATCGTGATCTAAGAATTATCGCAATTTTGAGCACCTCTCTATTACGTGCCGAGAGTGAGCTCATTGCGAAACAAAGAGAACGTGCCAGAAGGTGGGCGCAAATGCAAGCAGACCTCGGACTAACAGATAAGGAAGAAGAAATGGCCAGGCAGCAGCGAAAGAAAATCGATAACATATGGAAGAATGAACTCAGCGGGCTAGATAATTTTTTTAAAGAATTAGACAATGTCAAACCAATGATAGATAGTAGACTAAGTAAATAATACCTAAGTAATGTAAAATCTTTGTGACTGTGATATACTATGTAGGATGTTTTTCTAAATTACAGTCCCATTGCGTTTCGCGTGGGTCTGCATCCGTCGGCCGCCATCTTGGCTGCCCCTGGGCGTGGTCGCGCTGCTTACTTCAAAATGGGTTTGTAACGGTATCGTGCATTTATTTAGTTAATTAAATTGATATTGTGTATATAAGATGTTTCAATTTTTTCTATTAAGTACTTAATGGTAAAATTGGAAATTAAATTTTATTCATATTGAATAAGAAAATTGTAACATATGTTTAAGTATAAAAATAAAAGAATTTTCAAAAAGTTGTTGTCGTCTTTCTCAACTTCATATTCTTTTTTATTTTCTTGTGATTTCACCACGCACAAATGTAATTTTCCATGAGTCAACGTCACTACGTGAAGAGAGATATGGACATGTGGCTGGCGTCACGTGATCGAGTTCGGTGTTTGTCGGCCGAGTGGCGACTAGCTGAGGCGCTTCGGCTGCTGCTCGTGCTGTGGAGGCACACTGGTGCTGCTTGTGATAAACGCCGCGGACACGAATCTCTATAGTCCCAGTTGTCAGCCCACTAGGTAAAAGTTAGGTGGTTGCGTCATAATTACATTATGTGTAGGAAATAACTTAGGGTCTGCGCGCGGGCCCATACCTGTAACATTGTCTTTAGACCTCAGATAACTGCCGTTTCTACTTGAAACACTGCCGCATCGGCCTTCAACAGGGCTACAGTTGACTGCGTGAGCGCACGCGGAAACTTCCATAGTCTCGAGTCGGTACCTATGCATATAAGATGACGTACGTTGGTGAGTCATTTATTGTTCACGAGAAATGTAACATTATTTAGTAATTGTGTGTACAGAGATCTCTAATCTTAAGACTTCAATTGTTTAGTAGCTTTAATTTATATAATAATATCCAATGTCTAACGGCATAAGTAGGTAAATAACGTTCCACCCATACAGGCATACAAAATCACGCGTCTATCTAAGGTGGAGATAATGTTGAAGAAATACCACAAACAAGCTGCAAATCTGTATGAATAATTCTACTGTGGGCGTAATGAGCTGGCAGTCGACAGAGTCCACACGGCCATTGACGCGACAGCTTTCACTTTTAGGTAACACGGTCAATGAAACATTTTACATTAACGAATGTAGTGTAAACCTATGCATGCAATTTGAAATATTAAGCTTTTCTTACGTTCAGCAATGAATCTATCTTTACTTGATGCAATTCTACATATTTAATAAAATGTAAGTAAAAATAGAATAAATAGGACCTGAGAAAAAAGGCACTTTATTATCGAAATGAAAGAAATTGGAAGCAATTGCAACAAAATAAACATCATTGTGACGAGTGGGCTGATATACATCCGGGACGCAAAACAAAACTGAAACAAACAATGCTAATATCTATTTTAACTAGGCAAATAAATATACCACATGTTAAATATCCCAAATAGACAAAAGAAACTGACGTTGAAATTAGTATAGGTATCCTCTGAGTTGGATATCTGGTAGAACGATAATGGTAAGTTACAAATTTTTCACAATGACAACTTTTTTATTCAATTATAAACTAAATAATTTATAGGATACTTACTAGTACCTAATATATGTTTATCCAATGTATATGAGATTTAACGATCTTTATATTAGCTTCAAATTATTAGTAACACTTACTACTACTTTGTTATTTGGCCCATGTTTAATTATATAATAAATATCTGCCTTATCGGTTACACACTATTGATTTATATGCAATCTTCACAGCTGACTGGATTGGGAACAGAGGTCGTCGTGAACCAAAATTCACGTCTCCCACCCATAAAGCAAAAGCAAGGTGAAGCCCTTCACGCCTAAGGCTTACCAGAATCCAGTCAACATTAGAGTGGACCATCGACCTCCCCTCAGACAGATAAGTCGCATTGGTCATAGTCGATTATACTCGTTGCTATCTAGAACTATCGCAAGAATAAGTATCGAAATGACAACACACCCCAGTAAAATTTTCTAAAGATAAGAAGTTGAAATGATAAACTCGCGAATTAAACCTAAAATGTACTGGTAGCCTGTGTGGATGATCGGAGCTGTACTTAATTTATAAAGAAAGAAAAAATATGATATAGGTAAGTAGTCTTTCCATTGTAAGTGCTGTCACGGAAAATTAAATTCCTGACCTGTCTTTTCATCAAAAACTATTGAACTAAGACCAAATACTTAACTTCAGAATAACGTATTTATGTAATAAATTTTACAGCACACTCTAAATTTGTACATTTTATATATTACCTGAAATGACAAATAAGCTGATAGCTCACTTGATTGAAAGGGGCATAATCATCGCCAATGTACAGAATAGCACCATGCATATCATGGAATTCGCCGATATTTAATAAGTAGAATATGTTTTGTAATAATTGTTCTATTCACAATTATTTTTTATTGTCAATTATTTACGTAGGAAATATTAATATACGAGAACAGACTACAAATAAAGCAATAAAAAATTTAATAGAATATGCGTCTTAGTTATGTATCTAAAAAGCAGAATATTTTTTTAAAGCGTTCGAGACCTCTGTATAATATATAAGTAGGCATTAAAAGAAAATGCCTCGATTCTTTTTAAGAAATATTTTCTGTTTAGAGTGACCTCTAGCATGTTCTGTTAATTTTTGTGAATTGCATTATCTTAAATACAAATATTCTCTTAATGTAATTCTGTAATAGATTAATAGAAACTTCAATATTGATAGGTAGAGCTTGCTTAACATTTAGTCCTTAATTTTCAGATCTTTATGAAATTTTTAACTATTATATAATAACATTTGGACTCGTGGTGAAATCGCATAATCCCAATTTATATGAAATAAGCTTACCTTTACAAAAGTTTAAAATTAACCATTTATTAAAATGTATAACATTATCAAAGCAACATCTTGATAATGAATGGATAAACTTATACACATAGTACTTAACGTAGGCGAACAAAATGAAATTTGTACTTTTGACTTCTTTTTTGGAAGGATGAAATTTGAACAATATTTCAGCTGAAATACCTAATGATATAGCACCACACAATAGATATTGTTCATGGATATTTTAATTCTATATAAATACGATATTAACATGGTTCAAATGAATGTTTGAATACGACCGACGGGCCTCTCGGGAAATACCTATTTAGCTTTTCAGGTTTCCAGCATAATATTGAAATAGCATACAAGTTGTTTGAAGATTTCAAACTTAAAGAACACAATTTTTATTCAAACAATTATTTTTATAAGGATCAAGTAGTTTCATATTGTACCAGACTTGGAACAAGCTACCACAATTTTTATTATATTTATAAATATACTTTGGAACACAAGATAATGGAAAATACTGAACAAAGAGGTATTTGCCATGAATGTAGGTCAGGCTCGGAAAAATGAAGACAATGAAGAATTATATACCTAACTATATATATTTCTAAGTAAAATTGAACTCTATCGTCGTGAGTACTTGCTTATGTTAACTTATTGACGAGTAAATTAAAATTACTATGTAACATTAATCTGAAATACTTATCCATAATTCTACTCGTTTTTATGCAATTGATCCTAAATATAAACCATTTACTTGTAACTTCTACATGCATAACCCATTTGTTTGTGTCTATCGTCTGTACCTACAGCTAGGTAGTGTTTTCGCTGGCTGACAATTTGCTGCATATACATATATATGTGAATTCAATTAGCTAGAAGTCAGAATACAATAAGTTCATCAATTCATCGGGTACTGGACAGTCAAGAATTCAATAAACCAAAATTGGACAAACTGCCATTTAAATATTATATTTTATATTAGCTCGTATCTACACACACTGTTCCTAAGTTATTGTCATGGATTGATGGATGGTATGGAAAAATTTTGCAATAAAGGTTTTTTCGAAATAATTATCACCTTAACTAGATAATATTGCTTTGTTGCATAGTAGTAGGGTTTGGGTTTGGTTTGGTTACTTTTGTTTCAGTAAAGTACCACAATGTTGCTGCAATATTTACCAGATGGAAAAAATATAATTAAATACGCCTGATAATGATCAACATAATAAACAGTAAATGAGATTGAATGTTGGATGATAACTCTTGATATTTTTTCCAATGATAATACCGCTCGTCTATTAATGTCTGTGTTGGGTATGTTGAGTCGTATAATCCCTGCAACATTGTTATGCTGAATGACTGAGAGTACTCATGCAAATGCATACTCGCATTCTGTAATGGTTGAAAGTGCCCGATTGTGTTGAGCTAAATTATTATCTCCTTATTCAAGGTAATGGTATGCTTAAGCCTGTAGATTAAATTTATTTAACAATATTATATGCATATTGTAAATAGATATTACAGACTGCTCCTGCAGTCATTTGCTTAACCCGAGATTTGTATTTGTTTAGTTAGGTTTTGTGGAGTTTTTTCACGAGGAGCTGTAATCTACTATAGAAACCTCCATGCTTGAAAAGCAAAAGTCGAAAATATGGAATTATGTTTACGTAGATAAGTTACTTCTGCAAGCTTAACTAGAGATTTGCTTTGGTAGAAGACACCCGGAACACAAACCATACATTCATAGGTATATTAGTATGCTAATATTTGATCTTTTTTTTATATCATTAATGATCTTGAATAATTTACACTTTAATCATTTAGGTACGTTTTCTTTTCATGTATTGTCTGTTTAGCATACGTTAACTAATGCACGTTTCTCGTATTGCATCCTGCTTGTGATGCGACATGATGTACTTAGTTAACAGTACTGACATTTAATAATTCTAAATAATACCTTCTGGTTGTGGATATATTAAGTGTAGTAATTGTACCTAGATGTAGTACAACTGATTGGAATTTTTATGATACATGAAATTTACTAATGAATAACTATATAATTATATATCTACAACATAATTTGTATACCTAGGAGATAATATAATAGAGATATGGAATGGTTTTGTGTTTCTGTATGATTTAGCTAGAAACATCTTTGAGTTTGACCACTTTTTGCAACTATTCAATGACACCGGCATCTCATCGGCGAGAGCAGACTGCAATCACTGCAATTCCATTGTAGTCTTAACGGAAAGGAGGAGGAGGCTGTTGAACATCGTCGTAGATGTCCAGGCCTCCGCTATTGAGTGATGGTGTCAATAAAAAGGTTGGAGAATGTCACCTTTTCCTCAATATTCTAATGCAGTCTCTTCAAAGCAATCTGTCTCTACGTTGCTAGCCGCGTAGATACACCACATTACGAAGCAGATGTCCTGTCTTCACCGCACTGCGGTGACGGGCACTTGACTACCTACCTAACAGTGAACGGCTGTTTGCTGTCACGTTCCTGTATGCAACACAGTCGGGCGTTTTACTTCATTGTCGGCATCAATATGAAATATGTAAGAATGAATGGTTATACTATTATACTCTTAATCTTATCTTCATTATAATTTTGAGACTTTTAGGTTATATCATATTACATATTACAAATAACCAATTGATTTTATTGCACATATAAATATATTGAATTCTTTACCTAGTTAAAGATAATAACACATTATAATGCACCGTTTCGATACGGTTCTATATACTGTCGATTATATAGATCTATATAACTTAGGTATTTGCATTATTTCGGACATCTGTCCGCTTGTTATTTTAATCTGTTGTCAGTTACGTCGTGACACATGAAGCTGACTATCAGAATGGCTCTCTCGGGCAAATCACCATCATATATCTTGCACGGTGTTGGGAACTCGCGCAGTCTCCCTACCACATTCTTCGCACAGTGACGGCGAAAAGTCGCGTCGCCTACAAATGTCGTCGCTTACTGTCACGGTCTTCGCACACCGACGGCGAGAACTCGCGTCGCCATCCGATCACCTAGCTCACTGCTACTTCCCCGCACACCGACGGCGGGACACGCGCCGCCGACCGATCTTTGCGCTCGTCACCACGATCCCCGCACACGGACGGCGTGAACTCGCGTCGTCAACCGACCTCGGCGCTCTCGGCCACGGTTTCCGCACAGCTACGGCGAGACCTCGCGTCGCCAAACAACCTCACGGTCTACGAGCAGCGTCGACGGAAGCTCGTGCCAACATCCGACCCCGTCGCTTACTGCCACCGTCCTCGCACAGCGACGACGGCTCGCGCTACCTGATGACCTCGCCGCTTGCTGCTTATTGCAACGTTCCACACACAGCGACGAGAGCTCGTGTTACATTCCGATTTCGTCGCTTGCGGTCACGTTCCTGCGCGCGCAAGATGTCTGCATAGCTTAGTCCTTCACTACCGACGACAGCGTGTGAAATGCGTAAGACTGAATATTTTATACTTTAGATACCAATCCAGTTAGGTTACAAAGAATAAATTTTCCTACATAAAACATCGAACCGATTTTCTAAATAAAACAATGACATTTTATTTTATTTGAAATAAAATTATATCTTACAATGTATCTATAATATATACCACAGTAAATGAATATGAATACTTGGATAGTTCCGGACGCCAGTCCGTATAGTTTCGACATTTTATTTCTGTCATCAGTTTGCGTCGTCATCTTGACTGCTGGAGAGCTGCTCTCTCTAGCAGATTATTTCTGCCACATTTCTCCCACATCAAGGACGAGAACTTGTGCCACCTTGAACTCATCGTTAGCGGCCCCGTTCTTAGTACAGCGAGAATGGGAAGTCACGTTGCTTACTGCGACGTCAAAAGCTCGCAAGTCCATCAAGTTCATCGCTCGTTACCAAGCTCCTCACACAGCGGTGAGAGTTCGTGTTACCTATAGACGTAGTTGATCATGACTTGCTGCCACGTACTACGTTACGACAAGAGCTCGCCTTGGCAACCAATATTGACAATATTGCTGTCATATACCTGCACACAACGTGTCTGCACAGTTTAGTTCTTCACTACTGACGACAGCGTGCAAAATACGTAAGACTATAATTTTATACTTTACTATATTGTTAGCTTATAAATTGTAGCAAAAAAACCAATTTATCTAGACAAAACATCATACATCTACATATATCGTATCGATTATCTACTATTGATAGATGCCCGGAGCCAATACAAATAATTTTACTTAATTTAAATCGACTCCGAGCATCTTTGCGTTTATCTTATTCATGTGTCATCAGTTTGTATCGTCAACTATCGGAGAGCGGCTCTCTCTGGCAGATTGTCTCCGTCACGTTTGTCGCAAAGCAAGGACGAGAACTCGGGCCGACAACCAAAATCTTAAGCTACCACAGCGAAAATGAAGTCGTGTCTCCTCCTGAAGTCATCGCTCATTGCGACATCGGAAGAGCATTGCCTAGCGAGATAGTCACTCGCTGTCATGCTTCTCACGTAGCGACGAGAGCTCGGGTTACCTGCGGCCCTCATTGTTCGCGGTTTTCTGCCACGTGAGATTTTATTAATAATATTTATCAGAGACCTGTATCTATAATACTAGTAATATGTAATTAAATCATTCCAGACATCTGTCCACTTCTTTTCAACATTTTTATTAATCTGACAACAGTTTTTCGAGATCATGTCTCGAATACCGGTTGTCTCTGGCATATCTTTGTCTGTCCATTTTGGCTACAGTATGAAAATAGCTGAATGGTTCTCTCAGCAAGCACTCGCTTCATAGCTACATGTCATGACCTGGACTCACTAAAGTATAGATGATCAAGTTTATTATGAAACTCGTATGACTAGCCAAACTTCTACTCCACTACTGGTGACAGTGAATTCTTATTAAAGGGTTCAAGTGAAAGGTAACGCAAATTAGTCGATCTGATAACAGTTAACTGCTATAAGTAGGGGTAGTTAGTAACATAATTGGGCTATGGAATTTTTTTATATGATTTAGCTAGAGACACCGTCTTGAGTGCGACTACGTAATGGCACCAGTTCCTAGTAGTTAAACGCTACGACCACAAAGCTGCAAGGCCACTGCTGTCACAATGAAGCGGAGGAGCCTGTTATTTATTGTGCAAGTCTCCATAGACAACCTGTACAACACAACTATCGTATCAAGTCAGCGGTACTCACCGTTACCTCTGTATGCTAATGCCATCTCTTCAAAGTCTTCTGGTTCTGCATTGTACTGCTAACATACAAGTCTACCATTCTCGTCACTCACTGCACGCTGCTACATTACTACGTGCAACGTGTTCACACTACAGGCGACAGCATGAAAAATATGTAAGACTGATGTATACTCTATTATAGAAATAGAATATTATAGATTACAAATTTCTAACAATGAATCTTACATAATATTACTCATTAATCTTATCGTTTACATAACTTAAACAATATAATGTTGTAATAGACCGTTTCGATACGGTTATATTAATTGTTGGATTTATTAAAGATTTTCTGTAATGTTTAAACTATAATATTTATATTATTTTGGACATCTGTCCGCTTCTTTCCGTCATATTATTCATCTGTTATCAGATTGAGTCGGAACTACGGCAGAAAGCCGTCATATTACTGTTTCCCGTAAAGAAATACTACGTTATGAAGATATCTAAAAGGTTTTCTTAACATACTGTTTGCATTGGCTTATTGCAACTCTTTATGGTGTTTTTGTCCTACATATCGGTATTACAGTCTCCATGAGCAAGAAATAATCACAAGCTTCGAATATAATATAGCCAACGTATAAAACAAGACTTCCCACTTCGGGCCATTAATTCGACAATGCCACTTATAAAGGTAACGGATATTTCTGCACCTGATCATGCTCCTTATAAAATTGTCGTCAGCACGCTGCATGCCCACTGCCAAAGTGTTCTAAGCCTGCTTTCATAATAGTGCAAATACTGGTATCGAATATCTACATAACTGTCATCGGTCATCCTGCGGTACAACAGTGTCATCAGTAGAGGATCAACATAGATGAAACCGATAAAAAAGGTAATAAACATCACAACGATTTTCAATCCAGAGGCTATAAAAAAGACGATCAACAAAATCTCTTTATTCTCAAACGCTATGTATGCGAAGCTCTGCGACATTAACTACCAAATAAGTTTAGACTATAATAAATCAAATCTGCGAAACAATTTATCAACATTACAACAGCGAGTCCATATTGAATTTCGGCTGAGAATCAACAGGTAAGAATTTTCTTATCAAGATTTCTCAAGTTGGTTTACCAGAGCTGAATACAAACAACCAGAGAAAAGGTACTGTATCAAGCTAGATGTATTCCAACTTGTCCTAATTTACACCTACAGGTGGGGAATCGTTTATACCAGCTGCATATTTTTTTACGACACAAGTATATTTTTTATTCATACCCTTGAAAGTTGACGAAGAGCAACGAAGGTGTGTCGATCATCCTTGTATGTATCACGCAGAAGCTACAACCAAACCTATCAATAAGCAGAGGTGGCAAGTTTTAAGTCAACGGACCTCATGAAGTTATCAATGGTGTGCATTTGATTTTATATTCTATTCAAATCTTCACATCCATTGTTGCAAGCATCTTATGTACTGGTAACTAGCAACTATTTCAACACGGTAAACTGTTTATACTTTTATAAGTATGCCTTGATATTCTTTTCGCATGACTGTTAATTGGTATGTGAACTACACTGTATTTTTTGACTATGTTAGATTTGCTAAATCTAATTATAAGCTTTAAACTAATAACAACGATGGATCGCACCTTAACTATGACATCTACTGCAAAAAGCCGAAATCGAATGCCACTTCAAGTTTATCAAAGTACAATACTTCTCGACGAGTTACCAATGAGAGTACAGATCTGCTGCTTTCGTTACGAAATTCAATTCAAACGCCTGTCTCTCTTTATATACAATAATTAGTATGCTGTTTTTGGGCGTTTATTCGCCCTTTTACTTTACTATGTCTAATTTGTTACATAGTTCCTGCTCATCTGCATATTGCAAATTTTACTCATTAAAGATCCGCTAAGAGGATTAAAAATGAAATGACTATAATGAGAAGTAAGGATACCAGCCTCATCAGAATCCATCCCGTCTTGTTTACTAATAGTATACAATCATTAATCCTACAAGGAGATTAATAAATGTAATCGAGGATTGATCTGTTTGCTCAGAAATAGATTCCTGTTCCAAGAATTTACTTGTCGGAAAATTAGGATCTGGTGAGCCTAATGTTTTCTTTTTAAAAATAATTTCATTACAAACTATCAAAAAATATATTTAATACATAACCTGCATGATGTATGTCTATTTTGTGTTTTTTTTTTTTTTTTTTTTCTCTTACCAACAGGTGGAAGATATTACTTTCGACAAATATATGCACCTCAGCGTTTAACGTGAACTTTGGTGACAGTACACATATATTTAATTAATCCTACAGTATAATAGCATCTATATGGGATTATGGAAAACCAAAGAACTGACGCAGACGCTTAGATGATGACAATAATTAGCAAGTGGTCATTTCTTCAATTACTTTGAAACTTAAAAATTCAAAATAGTCATAATTTTTCTAGTACGACATTTCATTAACGAGCGATAATGTGCCCCTTTATGTTGCCGATACTAATCTGTTACACAGATACTGCTGATTACTATAGAACATTTTCCTGCCTCGATGTTAATTCAGAGAATGGCGACAAGAATAAGGAAAACACCAAATAAGATGACAAATAAACCTCAGGCTGACCCCATTGTCTCTACTCAGTATTCGAAGATATGCAACTACATATCGTTTTATTTACTAGTCTTAATCAGAAATCTGTCAATCTACATAAAAATAGTAAACCACTGTATTCATCTAATACTCGGGTCAAATTTGTGGAATGGTGAGCATTTTGTATTTTACAATTTACAAAGAAATTATTAACGACACTTGTATCCTACAAAGATTACCAGGCGTCCGCATTAATATATAATACTATTTGACGGTAATCTTAATAATAAAATTTCTGTCTTGCAATGTTATGCCTGGCTTGACTTTAGCATTATGCATTCCTGCTATTGACTGTATAAGTTAGACAATTTTCTGTAACAGAATGTTAATATTACTATCGCAAAATTTTTTGTTCCAGTGTTCTAATTTTAGTATTAAAATGTATGATATTATTTAGCTCAGATATGTAATGCGAATTTTTGGTTACTTTCAAATTTATTTCAGATAGTAGGTACTCCAGTTGAATGTTATTACAATTAAAAAAGTCCCATTAAAACATAAAAAGGGCTGTAAGAATATACACACCTAACCTACTTATGACGATACTATCGCCCATAATTTATTACTCAATATTTTACTTGAGTACCTATTTAATTAAATATTGATATACAAATATCAAGCCAATTAATACTGTAATTATACCTAATCATAGACTCTTTCAGATCGGGATGACACAGGTAACACATATTTCTATATATTTTTGTTTCGATCCAAATAATTTTAATTTTCAGAAAAAAAAAGTAGGCCTATTTAAAATTTATTTTAAAGTCTGAAGTATATTATGAAAAAAATCTAAATGAAAACAAATTCAAAAAAGTAATTACAAAAAACTCATCAGATTATAAAAATAGGATTTAATAAAAATTGAATTTTTAATGATATCATGTTTCTACTGAAGCAATAACATCTCGAAATATTCTCGTCGAATAGGTGAGTGTAAGTCCAATTTCAGGAAAGAAAAATGAAAATAAACAAATGCGGGAATATAACGCTAATCGGTAATAATTTAAAATACTTTGCTACAGTAATGTAAAATATAAAAACAAACTACCTAAACTCGGTCTAAATGTTAAAGAATTTCTGGTAAATGAAATTTAAAAATAATTTCAAAGAAACTCAATAGAGGTATGTATAAAAACTTTCAGAAAACTACAATCAAAAGAAAAATTTTCAATCGAATCTTGTTTGAATTACAAAAAATATAGGATACCGCAAAGAATATGAAAAAAATTAATACAATAGTAACTAAAAATACGTAAGTAAGAAAAAAGTAACAAAAATCGATCATAAATACCCTCTGTTTTAAAGAATAAAAAAGCTTCTATGAACACATTTACCATGAAAGTAAGTGTATAAAATAATAATAATAGGGTTTATTTAAGGTGAGTAGATAAATTCAGTCTCTTTCAGGAAAATTATTACATAAATGAGAGATATTAAAAAGACATTGTATTCGCTTTTATAAGCTTATGCACTATCGTAGAATTATGACCATGAGAGCAAAACGAGCATCTATGAAAAGTAAACTTATACAACTATATTACAATACTGCAGTTAAAATAAAGTCTTAAATAATTTCAAGAATTAACAATTTTTTTTAAACAAGAATAACTAGATATCCTCGTTTTATTAAATAAACATATGTATATCACAAATAAAAGGTAAGTTGTTAAATAATTTTGTCGGCAGGATTGGATTATATTAAAAAGTATATAGGAATAATGAAAATAATATATTGAAAGTAAAAATACATTGAAAAAATACTCATAGATAATCAACATTAATGAAAAAGCTAAACTAGTATATCACAACAATTTGAGATATGAAATAAAGGGCTAATTCAATATAACATTTTGAAGATTAATATAATTTACCAGAAACAAAATAGTAAACTATAGAAGAAAGTTTATGATTATTATAATACAAATTAGAAGAATGGACATACAAATCCAATTATAATATTAATCTATAGTAAACAAAATATAAAAAATTGAAAAAGATAAAATTTTACGAAACAACATGCACCAGTGACAACTAGCGCAGAAAAACAGTTTCATTTCAGATGGAGTGTATAAAATAAAAACCGACAGCGGAGTGGGCAACGAAGATACTACGTTAATTTTTGTTACAGGCTAAAAAAAAATTTGGTGAAAAAATTATATGTATATGATAAAAAAAGAAAAAAAAACTAAAATACGTTAAAAGGAAAAATAGTAAAAAAAAACAGAAAAAATAATAAAAAAAAAGAAAAAATAATAAAAAAAGAAAAAATAATAAAAAAAAAAAATAATAATAAAAAAAAAAAAAAATAATAAAAAAAAAATAAAAAATATTAAAAAAAAAAAAAAATATTTAAAAAAAAACAAAATTAAATAAAAAAGATAAACAAAAAAAAAATACAGCGATGTAGCGAAGAAAGAAGATAAACAAGGTTTGCTCCTATAAACTAATTATTATTCGTTACAGTACATCTTGCAATTGAAAAAAGCTTTATTGTAGAAATTGTACATCGAAGAGAAAATTAAATAGAATTTAATAAGAAATCAGGAGAATATAGAAGATAGCAAGCGGCATGTAAAAGAAAGAGTTGATAAATGCGCAGAAGATGACGGGTCGATTAAACAGCGAATAAAGTGCAACATTGTGAAGACAGAACACACAAAAATAGCATGTTTTTCTTCTTCACTATATTCTATGCGTGAGCGGTAAAAATGACTGCAAACTAAGTGATGAAGAAAAAAAAAACAAATGATGGCATAGTGTAAAAATAAGACCCATCAAGCGACGAAATGAAAAAAGACTCATACGATGGCAAAGTAAAGAAAGAAGATGCAACAAACTAAGCACTGAAGAAAAAGACCCAGGAAATGGTGGGTCGAAGAAAGAAGTATTAACAACCGCAGCAATAAAGGAAGTAGATATAGGAAACGGCGAGGCGAAGAAAAATCCATACTGCAGCGCAATCAAGAAAGAAAACTCCGAAAGCGACGAGGTGAAGAAAGAAGGAAGCGGTGTGATGAAGAAAGAAGATTTGGTAAGCGGCGTGATCAAGAATGAAGATGCAGAAAGCAAAATAATGAAGAAAGAAGATTCAGAAAGCGGCGTGGTGAACAAAGAAGGCCCAGAACGTGGCATGGTGAATGAACAAGTTTTAGCAAGCGGCATGGTGCAAAAAAGACTTATACGGCGATGCGAACAAAAAAAAACAACAAACAAAGTGATGAAGAAAGAAGAATAACCTAGCGGCGTAATCGCTTGATTGAAAAAAACACAGAGTGCGGCTGGGTGAAGAAAGACGACACATACGGTAGAGTGTTAAAGAAAGTGTAGAAGAAAGAAGATACAAAGGGCGGCTTGGAGAAGAAAGAAGACCCATACGGCGGCGTGTTGAAGAAACAGAGGGCGGTCTGGTGAAAAAAGAAGAAACAGAGGGCAGCCTGATGGAGAAAGAAGACACAGAGGGCGGCTTGGAGAAGAAAGAATACACAGAAAGCGGCTCGGTGAAAAAAGAAGACCCATACGGTGGCGTGTTGAAGAAAGAAGACACAAAGGGCGGCTTGGAGAAGAAAGAAGACACAGAGGGCGGCTTGGTGAAGAAAGAAGACACAGAGGGCGGCTTGGTGAAGAAAGAAGACACAGAGGGCGGCTTGGTGAAGAAAGAAGACACAGAGGGCGGCTTGGTGAAGAAAGAAGACACAGAGGGCGGCTTGGTGAAGAAAGAAGACACAGAGGGCGGCTTGGTGCAGAAAGAAGACTTAGAGGGCGGCTTGGTGAAGAAAGAAGACTTAGAGGGCGGCTTGGAGAAGAAAGAAGACACAGAGTGCGACTTAGTGAAGAAAGAAGACCCATACGGTTGCGTGTTGAAGAAACAAAGAGGGCGGCCTAGTGAAAAAAGAAGAAACAGATGGCGGCCTGATGAAAAAAGAAGACACAGAGGGCGGCTTGGAGAAGAAAGAAGACACAGAGAGCGACTTTGTGAAGAAAGAAGACCCATACGGTGGCGTGTTGAAGAAAGAAGACGCAGAGGGTGGCTTGGAGAAAAAAATAGACCCATACGGCGGCGTGTTGAAGAAGACACAGAGGGTGGCTTGGTGAAGAAAGAAGAAACAGATGGCGGCTTGGTGAAGAAAGAAGACACAGAGGGCGGCTTGGTGAAGAAAGAAGACACAGAGGGCGGCTTGGTGAAGAAAGAAGACTTAGAGGGCGGCTTGGTGAAGAAAAGACAGAGGCCGGCTTGGTGAAGAAGAGACAGAGGGCGGCTTGGTGAAGAAAGAAGACACAGAGGGCGGCTTGGTGAAGAAAGATGACACAGCGAGCGGCTTGGTGAAGAAAGAAGACACAGAGGGTGGCTTGGTGAAGAAAGAAGACACAGAGGGTGGCTTGGTGAAGAAAGAAGACACAGAGGGCGGCTTGTTGAAGAAAGAAGACACAACGAGCGGCTTGGTGAAGAAAGAAGACACAGAGGGTGGCTTGGTGAAGAAAGAAGATCCAGGAAGCAGCGTGGTGAAGAAAGAAGACCCCTACGGTGGCGTGTTGAAGAAAGAAGATCCAGGAAGCGGCGTGGTGAAGAATGAAGATCCCTACGGTGGCGTGTTGAAGAAAGAAGATCCATGAAGCGGCGTGGTGAAGAAATAAGACCCAGGAAGTGACGTGGTGAAGAAAGAAGATGCTGCAAGCGAAACGATAAAGAAAGACCCATACGGCAGCATAATGAAGTAATAAGACCCATACGACGAAGCATGATGAAGAAAGATCCAGCGGGCAGCATGGTAAAAAAGAAGATACAGTATACAAAACAGTGAAGAAGACCCGATAGGCACTGTGTTGAAGAAAGAAATAAATTGGATTAATCAAGACGAAAAAGAAGACTTGCAATAGAATAATGAAGAAATAGATAACTGATAACTTCAAAAAAGGCTCAAAGATTTGGACGAAGAGCAAAGAAAAAATAAGATCCCGCAAGCAAAAAAATATAGGAAGGACTTTTAGATGATAGCAAAGAACTTAATAAAAGACTGGAAAACTTGGACGGAGAGTAAAGATGATGAATATAGAAGATCCAAAAAGTTATATAATGAAATAAGACTTAATCAGACAAAGAATCGACAAAGAAAAAAAGTAAAAAAAATGCTGGTCAAGATTTTTCCTTAGAATTTCTTAACAGTGGAATGGTGAAGAAAAAAAATTTCAACGGATTGGAGACAAAAGAAAACAGCAAGCGATGTTAATACTGAAGATTGAAAACTTAAGAAATTGAAGCGACGCCTAAAAAAGAAAAGACTCTAAGAAGGAGCGAATATGAAGAAAGAAGACGTGATCATGTAAGAAATGAACGCAAAGAATATATAGCGCATGTCTCTATAAATATCACGCGTTAATAATGCTCTTGCTTAAAGATGGGAGTAGAATGAAAACCACCAAACTATTTGTTGAAAAAAGAAATCTGAAATATTGGTAAAGGGGTTGAAGACAAAACTAAAATTGAGATGAAGACACAGCAAATTAGTTCATAAAAATAGAAGACAGCATTATGAAGATAAATTAAACGGCGAATGAATAAAACGAAGAGAGAAGAAAGAGTGGTGAAGACTGATCTTTAATAGATGAATCTAGATAATGAAAGAAAATTCGATAAGATGGATGTAAAGTAGAAAGCAGTTTAAGCAAGAGATAAAGTTTTATAAAGAAAGATGATGCACAGGTGATATGATAAAGTTAGATAGACTACAAGATAGAAGAATGAAAACTTAGAAGTGATATGGAAAAAAGAGAAAACCTAAATGACCGATAGAAAAATTGAGATAACAGATATTAAAGGTGACATAACAAAGTGAAAAATACGAATATGAAATGAAAACAAAAGAAGAAAAAAAAAAACTTGCAAGTGGCATAGTAAAAAAAAAAAACTATTCTAAATTGAAGCAGAGTAAAGAAAACAGCAAGTGGCATGGCGAGGAGATCAACATGAGAGCCATTGAATAAATTAAAAAGATCATGCAACATTTCAGCATGTAAAAAAATAAAACATTTGAGAGTATATATGAAACAATCTACATGCAACTTTCAGAAAAGCAATATGGTCTAGAGGATGCAGGAACAATGGGATGACTGATGAGCAATAAAATTAAGTAATACAACATTCAAAATCAGGAGCATTATAATATGTAAGTTAACTTTTACATATAAAATTGACTCTTACTAAATTAGATATTACATTATTAAATATGTAGGATCATATCTATTAATCAATTGAACAGAACTAGATATTGTTATTTTATTTCTTATATATAATAGTACAGTATCTAAAATGATTAGTAATGCCTGATTTCAGTCTAGTGTGTGCAAAGAAATAGTATAATGCCATTTGTATGTCATAAATTCATCATTTCATGTCACAGAATAAAGAACTTATAAAATTAGAAATAAATAAATTTCATCATTTAAGATAACAATCAAGTTTCAAATCATTGCTAACCATATTTAAATATTATTTTTCTATATCTATATATTTAAATATTATTTTTTATAATCATTGCTAACCACATTTAAATATAACTTATCTTTTCCTATTAGTAATTGACTGCAGTAATTATTAAAAAATAATGGTTTAAATTTCTTTTTCAGAAACAAATTAAGACACCGAGGGTTCTACATCAACCTGTCAGACCAGAATAATACCACATTTACAACTATATAAATATATTTATAAATTATATAATTATAAAATTTTATAATTTTTTTATTTTAATGATAACATGTACATTCAAAATATATTACTGATTATATACAAATGTTTATTAAAAAATTATTTTATTTTTATAATAAGATACCTAAACTTCTAAATTTCTAGTATTAATTACTATTATAAATTGTGTGTACCACAGTTATAGAATAGTAATTAATAGTACAGTAGAATAATAACAGATCACTAAAACCATGGAAAAAAAAACTTAAATTCAATAGAACATTTAATTGTGAGAACTTGATTCTTATCAAATAGGATTATTAATGTAAACTCGAAAATTCAAATAAAAATTGACTGCTATCATCCTCATTACACGATAGTTGGTAAGGTATAGAGTATAATTAGGATGGTTATTGGTTTTGCAACCACATCTCATACCCTGAAGAAAAATCTTTACTAATGAATGTGAAAATGAGTCTCTTTATTACCTTTTAGCACCTTAGCAACTTAACCAAACATGAAATATACTATATACATTCATATCTATAGATAATGTTTACCACTTTCACTTACATTAAAAATCTTTTCCCCTGTAATAAAAAAGTCCATGTACCTGGAAGCAACCCCACATCTATTGAGAGTACGGGATACGTGTGCTAAAAACATAGTGGATACACAGAAGAGTAGAGAAAAAAGTTTAAATAAAATCCTGATAGTTTAAACTTTTTGTTTTTGGACCCGTGAAGTCGATTCCTAATATATTCAACAAGTTTATCAGCATGCATTTCTCGTAGTTATGACGGTAAATCTCCACACACAAGTTAAATAAATATTAATTATTACCCCTGACGGGTATACATGTTTTGGGAATCCCCACAACGGGTATTGAGGGTCGCTGCGACTCAAACAACATTTTCTTTAAATATTTTAGCTTCTTGCAGACCAATTTTGACTTTTTTTTTTAATTAAAGTACTACTATTTATTATACTTTAACAAATATAATAAATAAAAAGCTGTAATTTAATTCATTTTGGATAATATAAATAGGTATAATTCGGCTTTAAACCTTCGCAAACGCATATTTCAGGAGATTTTATTAAAAATTCAATAACTCTACATTTATTAACGTTAGAAATAAAAAAAATATATATCATTCTAAAGCTGAAAGTGTGTAGTATAAGAATGTATCGGTCATTTTATTGAGTTCTTTAAAAACTATAATTATTTTAAAAAATGAAAGCAGGAAATTATGATGAATGATGTATAGACAAAAAAGGGTTCAAGAATGTTTAAGAAATATATAAGAATTTTTTTTTTCGAAAATTTTTATTTTCCAATATAAAAAAAATCATCGAATTACAAGTAACTCCCCATTGAAGGTTATTTGTCTACAAACTTATGAACTACATAAGACATCGTGTACTTCGATGTCGGTTACACATGGGTAACCGACATCGAAGTACACGATGTCTTTGTCTTTTTTCTAAATCAATAGCTTCTTCATACAGTACTTGTTATACCTAACAAACTTTAAATACTTTTTTTTATCGGCAAGTGTAGTTGAGGACATTCGTAACGTCTTGTGAAATGAGATTTTGTCAGATCGTCGTCAGTGGCAGGCTCGTCCAATAAAATATTGTTGAAATCATCTACTAACATTTCTGTAAGGTTTTTTTATTTGTAACTATCATTTATTTCATGTTTAAAAGACACAAAACTCGAAAATTTCATTTCTTACTGACTAATTTAGCAAGAATTGATTTTTTTTTTAATATATGGTAAACAATTATATTTGGTAAAGAAGGAAATTAATTCAATTTTTACTTACCAATAATGTTGATTATAACACATAAAAAAATCTTATTCACATTTACCAAATAACAAAATATACCGCACTTTTTTTTTGGTGGATAAAAATTAAATGGTAGCCCCGCCTGCGCTGACGGGATACGCTGGCGGAGCACCAGTGAAGGGTGATCAATGAGAATGAAAACAGGCCAGTTAGCCCATCATGATGAATTCATTAGGAATTAACCATGATAGTTTCCAGAGGGAACCACGAGAAGGTTGACCTGGTTGGGTATATTGCTAGCAATGGGATTTTTAGTCTCTATTAGTAACAATCCCTTTCCCGAAATTTTCAGAGTAAAATTTTCCGATGCGTACAGTTTGAAAACTAAGATGAATGTAAAGATGAAACCAATTCCATTTGTCTTCTGAAGGTCTAAACTAAAATATTGTGGTGGGAGAAACAGCTGTACATAGTTCCTTCATAGTGTATCTGAGACCCGCCGAACTACTGGCCGGGTCGTTGCGACTCACTATACCGGTCAGGGGTTAAACTTACCCCATATTTTAGTCAACGTAGATGGTAGGACAGCAAAGGTTCAATTTTGAAGTAGCGTCTTCTAATTTAAATTGAAATGAGTTTTCTTTTAAAAGTTCTATGAAGCGTTGTATTATATTCTCTCCGTACTATTTGTGATAACTAATATTTAAAAAATAGGTAAGTAGTCCAGAAGTAGGTAAAGTATACCCATACCTATTTAAAATTTCCGAAAAATCGTTTCCTTTCTAAAATAAAAACTGTCAGACTCTTTTTAAAGGTTTCCCGCGGAAACGGTAGAACCATTTTAGTTTTCGTTTTTTTTTTTTCTGCCTCTTAGGTACTGAGTTTATAACAAATGTTATTCCTTGTTCTTAGGATCGTAAGCAGTTCATAGATTAGAAATAGCACCTGTTTACACTTTATTTAAAAAGGAAATGATGCACAATGTTCTATCTCTGTTCCACAGCAAAAATTGTATATTTGACTTATAATACTAGTATAGTATTATATACTATACTAGTATTATAAGTGATAATATATTACCTGTGCTTATAGAAATTATGACAATATTAGAGAATCAATGAATAAACAGTTTAAGAGAAAACTTGTCAAAATTATAAAAAAAATTGCACATTTTAATTAAAACATTCATATTAATAATTTTTTTAATAAAATAAAACTAGGTATGAATTATTATAATTGGTCATGTTTACTATACAAAGAAAGAAGGATAAGGAAATTGAAGTGGCAATGGCAATTATTATTCTAACTCGTATGCGTCTAGGTCACGTATGCACACCTTCTCATTTATACAGGCTTGGTATTATATAAAGTTCGCATGTAATTGCGGTGCTGAAGTAGCAGTCTTGAATCATATATTTTTTTCATATTCTAAAATTGGCCACCAAAATTTATATCAAGTTTAATGATATTGTGAATGATGTTTATTTGATGGATACTTTGAATGATCTATGAAGATACGTTTATCTTTGATTATATAGAAGAAATTTATCTAATAATTTATAATCCATTAATTAAAGTCGAGATTCTAATGTCAAAGCAATGTCGAGTATTAAACTAAGAACAAGGGATTACATAGAAGGAATGATAAAATAAAAACTGTAAATCATATGATTGCCTCCTTTCTATATACTAGCCTGCTATGAATTGACAAAAATAGCAACTGATGGCGTATCTTTTCGTTCTCTTTTTACTAATTATATTTGCATAAGAAGACAGGAGGCTATGATTAACAGTTTTTATTTTATCATTTCTTCTCTGTAATTCCTTGTTCTTAGGACGAGGAAGCGAGTTCAACGAGCCACTAATAGGTGGCGCTATAAAGTGTCAAAATGACAGTTGAATCAGTCAATCAAATCTATAAATCAATCAAATCACTATCCACTAAAAGGGAAATAAGTAAATTTAAACCAACTTATTATATTGGAAGTTCCTTAAATAACAAAATACGTTGTGTTGCAGAAGGAAGTTATTCAGAATAATGTCGTACCAATTATACAGAAACACTACAATCGGCAACACATTACAAGAAAGCCTCGATGAACTAATACAAGTAAGTTTTGTTTTTTGTAAGGCCATTGTTTACAATTCCTTTGTATATTCCTGATTTTTTTCAGTATGGACAAATAACACCGGCATTAGCAGTGAAAGTATTATTACAATTTGACAAGTCTATTAACCAAGCATTATCTAATAGAGTGAAATCAAGACTAACTTTCAAAGCAGGAAAACTAAATACCTATAGGTATGTACGCACACACAATTTTACCACATAAAAATTAAACTTGTGATAGATAAGTGTTCAATATATATTCGGTTGAAATATAGAATATTTGACATCAAATTTATTCATAAAAAGTCTTTTAGTTTATACAAAAAATAAATATGGAGGAGAGTTTATTTTTATTGATTTTTGAAAATTATCTAGTTAATATCATCAAACATCTTGTATCAAAACAAACAAATCTTTGTAAATTTTGACTTGGCTATTTTTTTATTGGTTAACCCTTCGTCAACCATGTGTTTTTTTTGCACACTGTCAACCATCATGGACAATATCATCCCAGATGATAATTTGACCTACTTAAAGGTAGAGAAAAATTCCAAAAAAAAAATCGGGGAATATGTTCTAGATTTCTTTTTTATATTTCCATAGTTTTTGATTTGAATACTTTACCCCCTGGTGAAATAGAACTTTTGTAACCTCTACAAAAAATACTGTAATTTCTAACATTTCACTAAAAAATCAATATCTTGGATATAAATCAGTTTTAAGAAGAAATGTTTTGGAGATTTATTCTTCATATAAGCACCTTTCACAACCTTGCCTATGAGGTATGTACATGTTTTTTGACAGAGGGGTTGAGGTTTCATTCTTTTTTTCTTACAAAGATATGCATCAGATTAAAACTTGATGCAGATGATATTGTCCTATACGGTTGGTGGAGGGTTAATGGAAGTTTTGCTCCTTTGGAATAATAGGATTTGGCTCCTCCTCATCTCCCTGATTCCTACTCTAATATTAAGTAGCTCTAACCTGATTTGCACAGGTAGTTAGACTTTTTGAAAATAGTATATAGCATATGTCACTCACGGGTAATGTAACTTTACCGTAAGTATTTAAAAAAATGGTTGAGTGGTTGTTGAGTTTAACCATTATGAACAATCAAATCTTTTCTTTTTATAATATTAGTATAGATAAATGTATTTGTTCTAAGAATGGTATAAAATGTTGATTAAATAATCTGAGACTATTTCCTTCTCTAGTGATGGGAAAAATATAAACAAAAAATCAATATCCTTTATTGTCAGTCTATCATTTGATTACACAAAATATTAATTCTTAAATAGGTATTGATTTATAAGGATTCGTTTGATTTTTGAGTTAAAATATGTCCTGTTAATTATGTGCCAAAATTTCTGGTGGAGCATCAAATTGAGAGTTTTTTTTTTAATGAGTGATAATGAAGTTGTAACCCCACCTGCGCTATCAGTATACGCTAGCGGGGGACCAGTGAGGGATCATATGTGATGATGAAAGCAGGATAGTTAACTCATGGTGACGATTTCCACTAGAATTAACCACAATGGTTTCCAGGGGGAACCGCATGGAACTCGACCTGATAGGGTATGTTGCTAGCAATCGGTTCATTAAACCCTATTACTAACAATCCCTTTCCCCCCCAAATTGAGGGTTGAAAAGTGAGGATGAAAGCAAAACTCTCCATTGTGATGTTTTTTAGTATTGATCAGTGGATATTTCCCAGTTTAGCTTGGGTTGAAATTGAGTACTAAAATAGGAACAAAACAACATTGTATGTATGTATATTTTTTTATGGGTGAAAATGCAATGACCCCACCTTCACTATCAGTATACACTGGGGGGGGGGGGTATCAGTGAGAAATGATGTGAGGATGATAGCAGGTCAGTTGATCTATTGTGATGAGTTCAACATGACCTAATCATAATGGTTTCCAGGGAAATTGCATAGAGGTCGAGCAGATAGGGCTATTGAATATTGCTAGCAATGGGGCCGTTAGACCCTGTTACTAACAATCCCTTTTCCCTCTGTTATGTACAATTGGGTGTATAATGAGAAGTTCATACATTATAAACATATAAAAAATATATGTATACTAGTCAAATATTATGTGTTATGAGTAAAGACAAATTAACATACAAAGTTATAATTTAAGACAGAGGACAAATAGCTAATAGTTACACAAGAGAAGAGTTTACAAAAGTCAAAAGATATGGCATATCAACTGGATGGGGGGTGTCACATGGCAACATCTCAACTATAATCTTTATGAACCTACAAGTTGGGCATTCAAAAAACATGCTCTAATGTGCTTTCATTTAAATGGCATTCCCATGGAGAGTTGTCTCCTACCTTATTCTTGTGAAGAAATGCCTTGTTCCAGTCTTATCTTATCTATACTAATATTTTAAAGCAGGGAGATTATATTTTTGTATGTTTGTAATGGATAAACTCAAAAAATACTAACCTAAATTTAAAACATCTTTTGTCTATAAAAAGTTACAAATAAAATACACACTAATCTGTCTTTCTATCTACCTGTGCGAAGCCGGGACAGATTACTAGTGTATAATAAAATAATAGCTGTAGAATAATAAATAAGTTTAGTATTTCAAAACCCTACAATAACTTCACAAAAACTTTCTTTTAATATAATTTCAGGTTTTGTGACAATGTATGGACATTTATGTTGAATGATGTAGAATTTAGGGAAATGCAAGAGGTTGCCAAAGTTGACAAAGTAAAAATTGTAGCTTGTGATGGAAAAAGTAAGTATGATTATATACTTAATATTAATATACATTATATATTTAAGGGTTTGCACACACTTGGGATTTTTGTCTGCTGCAGATTAATTTGCATTGTGTAATGCAGTTCTAGTTTATTGGTGGGTTTCTAGACATGAGCGTGCTCAATGTATTTGTGTTAATTTGAATAAGTCACCATGACAGTGGCAGTATACGGTTGACTGGTAGAGAACGCCTTTAGGTGTTATGCCCAACATGTGCACCTATATTATGTCTATTAAAGTTAAATAAATATCGCTTTTTTACTAAATCAAATGTTTTACCTAATACCAAAACATTGCAATCAAGCAGAACACTATTAATCTGTCTAACATTACATAAATAGAACTCCCTGTTCTTTGTCAATATTTTAGTATTGTATGTTTAGGTACAAATGTTATTGTTATTACGAATAGTAAACATATAATTTAAAATTGTCCCATTTCAGATGTGGAAGACCGAAGGTAACCTATGGTGATATTTGTGATTAGCGTAATTCCAAAAATATGCAACAATTAATTAATGTTTTTTCTTGTATGTTGTGGTTATTTTTGAGTAATTAAAGTTCTTATTTTATTAAATTGTTTCCATGTTTTTATTATATTTGTAGCTACTTCAATTACCCATGACTTGATCGTCAATAAATACGTCCCAATCACTCAGATTGGGACGTGTTTATTGACTAGGATGAAAGTAGCCTATTTCCTTCTTCATCCCAAATACTATGTGTATAACAAATTTCATAACGATTAGTGGGAACACTGGTATCCAAGCCTATACCATTAGCACAGGCTAGGTTACCATTCCATTATTCATTAAAAAACTTCCTCACAAACTTTTACATTTATAACAGTAGTAACGTTCACAAGTTACTACTAAACTTGTGAACGTAACAACATTTTTGTAAGGATTAACTGTTATTTCATATCTTGTAAACACTTAATTGATCTTTAAAATACTTTGCAAAATATTTGTGTTAGAATTACTAAAAATAATGAAACAATTGATATCTCATTAAGTTTATTTTATTTAAATTCCTAAAAAATATTTATACATAATATTTACAAACCCTTATGAACCTTTATTCGATCAAAAAGAAAATTTCAATCAATCAATTTAGAATTATGCTATTGGATATCTTTATAATAAAACAGTCCAAAATTATATAGGTACATAAACAACAAAATGTGTTACAATACAACGATCAAAATATTGATGTACTTAGTTCAAAATGTCACCACAGAAACAGAAAATGAAAATTATTTTTACAATTGCCAAATAAAATTACTGATCACATATTTGGTATCTATAAGTAACAAAAAAATATTATTTAGTGCGATAATCACCAATTATGTAAACCCAATAAAAATTTAAACATCTAATCGTAAAAATAACCATATTCGTTTATACTCGTATCTATAGTTTATCAAAATGTCTATCTCTAACTTTTCAATTTACATCTATCCAGTCCTACAACCATCTTAACAAAAAAAAAAAAAATAATAATAATAGAAGTATTGTGAGCTTTGATTCAAACTTAGATATTATAGATCGTATCTCCATCCAAATGCTTTGAAAAAAGCGGGTCAACTTTTTCATACAATTGTTTTCCTCGCAATGTTACCAAATTAGAAATTATTACTTGAAGGTCGTAACTTAAAATATTATTAGTATTAAATAATCCTTTATAATATTTCACTTTATTTACATATTTAATTATTTATTAAAAATGCGCAGATAAAGAATAATAATGCGATAAAAAGACCTTCATAATTCTTTCTTTAAAAATTAATAAAATTTTGACGTGAAATGTTGAAAATCGGCATTTGTGAAATTTAAAAAATACATGGATCCATGTATTTTTTAAATATGGACGGTTAATGTCATTAAAGTGATGGCCATTCCTTCATTAGTTTTATATCTTATATTTTTTCTTTTTAGTGCGCAAAAACTCATTTTAATTATTAAATAAATATAGCCACGTCAAATACGTTGTAAGCGTAACACTAATTTCACAATTAGCTGACAAAAAGTTGACCCGTTTTTGAGACTATGTAATCTAAGGATTAAACTAAGAGTTGAATAAATTGTGTAACGTAACGTAAAAATATGAAATACTTTTTTATAAATTAGCTAATTATATATTTGAGAAACAATATTAACAAATATATACATATAATTGGAAAGTACCAGAAATTAGAAAACTTAGAACAAGAATTGTAAATGTCTATACAGATTGTCAGGAAGTCTTAGCTAACTATATGTTCTGCCATTTTGTTGAATACATTTACTTAGATTAAGAACTGTAAATGTCTATAAAGAGCCTTGTCATTGTTTAGGCACAATAGGAGGGCGGTGAAGTGAGGTCCGCAAGCAGATCCAGTTCTTCTTCTGTTAATTGTTCCCTGTGTTTGGGCCAGTCGTCTTGATGTGTGCGTCTGAATTCGGCAAGTGATTTGCGTATAGTTGCTGGTATAGGATCCGGCGCGTTCGTATGTTTGGCCAGCTCCGCTAAAACTTCTCCTAACCTGGGACCGAGACTATATGGCCTGGACGCTAGGTAAGCGCACAGACCGAGGACACCACAGTGCCTCTCTACCAGCTGCTTTGAGCGACAGTTCCGTGTAAGAGTTCGCAACGTTTGTTGCTCGTCGGGTAGGGCGCGGCAGTGCATTAATCCAGTTAGTAGTTTTGCCGCAGATTGTCGGACCTAATAATAGTAATATGCATTTATATATTATAAAATTGGGATATTAGAGGTATTTTTACTTTTGATTCTAATAATGTAGACGCGGCATTATTAATTTATAAAGCAAATGGACTGCAGATATACTTGTTAGAATAAGTGATGTTTATGCAAGATATTTATAGGCGACATCTGTTACTTTCTATCAGGTGAACTATCAGTTTTTTTGCCATTCTTAGTTTTTTTAAATAAATTACATAACAGGCCAAATAATTTATATAGAAATCAATTAGATGGGATGAATAATGTTTTCAAATGCCAATGAATAATGTGTTAAAGTTTCAAATACAAATAGATGGGATGAATAATGGAAATATAATGTGATTTTAACAATAATATTAATTATTAAATTATATAAATAAAATGTAAAGATTAACAGTGTAATTTAAGTGTGTCACATAAAATGTATAACATAAACAACAGTGAAATGCATAAAATATATCTGCAGATAAAATGTAAGCACTAAATATTCAATTATTGAGAAGGTCACTTGATATCAAATTGATTATTTGGTTATTGATTTAATAATAATAATAATAAACTCTTTATTGCGCACAATAAAAATGTATACAAGGAGTATTTATATAGAATGTACATATACAAAAGGCGGCCTTATCGCTAAAAGTAATCTCTTACAGACAACCTGGCATAAATAATAGATAAGTACAGAGAGAAAGAAGATGGCGCAAGACACACACACAGACACTCAGACATAGTAAATACATAAAAGGAATCAAACAAAACGCAAAATATTTTAAATATAAAAATAAGATTACAATACATAAACATACATATATAATATAAATAATAATACATAAATACATTAATATACTAAATAGATCAAGGTAAATCACACGTAGTGAACGTCAAAGCAAATTAGAGAGATAGGTAATGATAGATATAGTTGTTTTTAAATTAATAAAATTATCAATCTACTTTTAGTCACTTGTAAGTATACTCACTTCTAATCTGGGATCGCGCATAAGTTTCAGGGCAAACTGTTCAGCGCTCACTGCCCGATCGGTGCGGTCACACAATAGAGGCAGTCCGTAGAATAGCAGCGGCTGTGCGAACTCTAGACACGACAGTCGTGCCCACCACGAACGATCTGTTTGTAACAATATATATTATTTAAACAATGAATTTTTACTGTGGATGTTACCATTACCGAGTACCTGTGTTCATTACTATGGTAATTCTGGGGTATTTTGTAATGGTGATATTTAACGTATTCTATAACTGTAACATAATATCTATAGACCATAGTTGCTATGTGAATTGTCAGTTTGTTTTCAGTTGTAAAAAAAAACTATATTATAGGTAGTATTCAAGTAAAAAAATCAATTCATTGGTATCTTGTTGTCTACATCGACAATACACTGTGTGGTCATCGTCAGCGAGCATATTAGGTGGTCAACCTAGTGTAGTCACTGTATTCGAACATCACCTGTGAATCTCCTTTATTCATGAAGTAGCAAAATAATACAGACCATCAGCAAGCTTGTGCAGCAAGACGAGCGCGTCGTCGAAAGGTTGCGCGTGGTGCAGGTGTAAGGCGAGCGCGGCGAGGAAGGCGGCAGCGGCACGCGGCAGCTCGTCCAGCTGCGGGCCACGCGCCGCCACCGCGCATGCGTCACGCACTAACGCCTGCAGCGCACGCGCACCACTCGCGCCGCCGCCCGACACCCCTCGCACCACCACTCCCATGCACCCGCGCAGCACTGCCACACAAAACATGTTATAAATACTGATAAATAATTATGCTCCACTCGGCGAAGGCACTAAACCCGGTTTTAAAAAAATTGTCGAGTAAAAAATATTAATACTAATACTATTAAATATATATTATTATTGAAACTGAAGTATTAATATTATTATAATAATATTAATACTTCAGTTTGGTAACAAAATTGTAGTTTTTGTTGGAAAACTCGAAAGCAGAAAAAGATGTATTTATTTCGATCGTGCTTGAGATTAGCTATTTTATAAATGACGTACATTGGCTGGGACCAGGTTCGACACAATTTCGAAACCTCCTAACAATATGCTACATGTAAAAAATGTGAAAATGTGATGAAGTCAATAAGGTTAGAATGAACTTTTCTGAATTGGTTTGATCTTAAAACATCTCCAAGTCATCCCTTTTAAAATATCTTCAAGATCTAACTGTGGTTGCTAATCCACCTGCTAAACGTGGCAACTACTGGCATAACCTCCCAGGGAGAGGTTTATGTTCAGCAGTTGACAATTAAAAGCTGACATTATGATGATAGTAAAAGGGGGGTTTATGGTGACGTACCGGTAGTAAGTAGGTTGACAGCGTTGGCGTGATGGTGGGGGGCGGGTTGCGCCGGGGGTGGAGGCGGCGCGGCACAGTCAGCCGCTAGCCGCAGCGCCGACTGCAGCCGCGAAACCAGCTGCGTGTCCAGTCGTTCCACGCGGGCCACCCCGCTGCGGGACGCGCATTCCGAGCTCTCCTCGCTTGTCTGTAAACGTCACAGTTTTAATACAACAAATGGGGAGGGGAAGGAATTTAACGATATACCCTTGCGAATGATCCACCGTGGAGGAAACCATCACGATTAATTTTTAGTGATTATCTCTAAGAATTAATCACTTACTGGTAATTGAAAAGGACAAAGTGATTCGTTGCTCATCACGTGCACTGCAGTCACATAAAGAGAGAAAAGACCTAACGAAAGTAAAGCAGATATAAATAATTTTGACTTATGTATCTCGTGGTTTTATGTATATCTATTTCAGATAAAAAAAAAGTTTTTTTTTTTAAATCGATATAGAACTGACAGAGTTATGAGAACTGCTTATTTTTAAAGTTGAATCAAAAATTCCGTTCCCGAGTATGACGAATGACCAACCTGCGGCGTGTCCTCTGCGATGACGTCATCGGGCGAGAGTTGCGCGACGGTAACCTCGACGGCGGTCTCTTGCGTCGTATCCAACGCGGGCTCGCACAAATTCACCTCGCGAGACACGCACTGTCCAGCTATCATAGACGCCGCAGTCTTTACCACTGTAAACAAAGAGATATTTAATAAATTATCTATTTTCTAAAAAAAAATATTTCAATGAGTGAAATACCTTTGAGACAACTATAAAACTATGGAAGATATCAATATTTTAATTCATTACATATTCTTGCTGAAACAATCTAATGATATAACGAAATACTACAATAGTTAATACATTTTGATATTCTGTTTTGAAGGAAATTGGTTATTTTTTTAAACATAAGTAGTAAGGCAAAAGATGCTGTGGGCAAAATCAAATGTTCATTTGATTATGTTGTATTCACTTAGACATGATCAGTTTTTTTTTTATTAAATTTGTAATTAATCACAAAAGAATTTCTTAACTATTCTGAATTAATTCCACATTTCGTTTAGTAACTCATATGCCTTATTTCTTTATTGGTATCAAATTAATTTCGTAACGTTTCAATCTGTCTTTATCCTTTCCTTATTATTTATAGCAAGTTTCTCCGTATGATCTCGATATGTTTATATGTGACTTACATTAAACAACTACATCTTTAAGAACTGTTTTTTGTATTATTTGTTTATTAAATAAATAAATAAACATTATATATACGTTTTCCCTAGAGACTACAGCATGAGGTTCTTAAAAATAAGGCCGGCAATGATTAACAAACAAGATTAAGTAATAGATTCAATCTATCCTTATTTATTCATCTTTCTATTTCGTTGAGTATTACAGGTACAGTTTATATGTACATATTTAGTTAAATACTTACTTGGAAAGTTTACAGTGGTGTATAGTACAATCTTTACAAATATCCATTCTCTTATTTATTAAAACGCCACGCTAACAGATTGTTTTACTTATAAATAAATAAATGAAACAATTTAAATTCTATTGAAATGATTCAATCATTAGTTCCACTTTATGCGTATATTACTAATATCTTTATTTATTTGATAATATTTAATAATTTATTTTCTATTTTACTGTTTCACAAACAAAAAGCATGCTGTAATTGCCCCTAAATGTAAAAACAATCTTAATCCACTAGTGTACTGTATTGAAATGCTTTGTTGTATCTTGTTTTTTTTTTTTTAAATATACAACTTAGAATGGCAAACAAGCTAACGGCCCACCTGATGGAAAGTGGTAACTGTCGCCTATAAATATGAGCAGTACCATGGACATAACAGAGTATACTGTTTCGCCCATGATACCCTCCATGCGTTGCCATTCCTGAGGACTCAGATGTTATTATCCTGCAAACCGAAACACAGCCATGCAAACACAACTGCTTCACAGTAGAAACACGAATGGAACAGAGATATCCAAGCAATCGACTTTTGTACAAAGTCTCCCTCTGGTGAAACCCTCCTCTCTTGTGTTGGTGATCTTAAAAATATTTGTTTCCCCCCATAATAGTATATAAAATAGGTCTAATTACACTCACCAATATAATAATTCTACAATACATGAATGCTCAGACTTACCTATATCGCCGTTTTCATCATAAAGTGCGGCCAGTCGCGGTTTGACAGCGGCGAGGAAGTCCTCTAGCCGCGGCGCGTTACACTCACTACCGCCCGGAAACACTATCTCCAGGTCGAAGATTGTCATCAGCATACTGCGTGGACAATGTATTCAATGAGTCTTTTTATAATTTCACTTAGAACAGCACACGGCATGACTTTATCGTCACAATGAAATATTAAGTTTATGTTTCACAAAAATAAAACTGACTTCAGATGTGGCAAAACCAGTTATTTTAATATAAGAACTAACCTACTGATGCGGGGGGAAAGGGATTAGATCCCATTATTGTTAGTAATGGGGTCTAACCGACCCATTGCCAGCAATACACCTTATCAGGTTGACTTCCACGTAGTTCCCCCGTGAAACTATCGTGATTAATTCTAGTGGAATTCGTCACGATGGGCTAACTGACCTGAGGGCGTACCATGAAATGTTTTCCGAAATTTCGAAGCCGAACGAAACACAAATTGATGTTAAAATTACATAATACTTACCGTTTAAAACATTAATAATATTAAAATATTATTCCTTTGGACTTTTATGGTAGGATTTGGGACGAAGGAAATGTTAAGTTCCATTTACTGGGCCGTATTAGGTATGAACGAAAACACGAACTTGAGTCCGAAACTTCGGAATTTCATTTCATGGTAGGCCCCCTGGTTTCATCCTCACTTATCATCACTTACTGGTGACCTGCCAGCGTATACCGATAGCGCAGACAGAGTTACTATTCCATTATCATCCATTAAAAAAGACCTACCGATGCGATTTTCATAAAATTTCTATGGGACTAATTTGTAAGCATATCCTTTTTTTATATATATAAAAAAAAAATCCTAATCGGTTTATAATTAAATCACGGGAATATAATAACGGAATCATGAGATAAGAAACATAAAAAATTACAAACCAATAAAAACTCCTTTTTAAAACCGATGTGGAAAATTCTTTTTTATCTTAAAGGATAAACTTGCAGATTGGTCACATAGAAATGTTATCAAAAGCGGTTCAGTTTAGTTTATAAATCAATATTTTTTATAATATAATAGGTTTTGTAAAAATCTAAGTCGGTATTTTTGTAGAACATAATCTAAAATTACATTTATTTTATTAAATGAAAGGTACAATTGGTCAATATTAATTATGTCAAAATAGAAGTCGTTGATTTATTGCTAAGCAAAATCCAGTGTTGTATTCTTTTCAAGACATTTAATCAAATAATAAAAATAAGATTTGAAATAACAGAAAGAAGACTTGATTATAAAAGCATCTAGTGCGACAGCAACAAGTTATTGATCATTTCTTAAAATACTAGTTCAATCGTTGCAACATATTATTCTATATAATAGGGGAGAGTCGGATATATTGTACCATTTTTCAGTATCAGCAAAATATCTCGTTTCCCTATTAATTTAGTCAAATTATTTATCCAATGCCAAATTGTTTAGAACCTCGTTTATCATATACCGCAATGTCGACCCTATACTCTTAACCGATTTCTCAAAATATTCGTTTTTCTAAAGGCTTCCGATTGGAACAATTTACCCGACTAGTCGGTTTAAATGTACCATAGGTTAGCTAAATTGTACCACTAATAGTTAAGGGACATTCAAACATGTTAAATGTTTAATAATTGTATAAAATATTTAATATTACTAATACTCAATATTATCCATGATAATATTTTAATTATTATAAAAAAAGTAGTAACAGACATAAAATTATTTTTTCTCCAATAAGTAACATTCATAACTTAAAAAAAAAATTATATAGAATTATCAAAAACAAAACAATCATCAAATTACCTTCAAATTAAATTACCTTCTTAATTATAAAATTAAATTATTTCTTTTATGAAAACGAAGAAAAAAACAGTTTTAACTTAAAATTACAATTTGGTCAATCAAAAATTATTTTGTACTGAGATCAAAGTCTTTGCTCAATTTAACACTGATTTAATTTAAACAATTGTCACAAATATGTGGATTTGAAGCCCAGTTTTGTTGAAGAAGTGACCCTCAGATATAGAACAAATATTTTCCTTATCATCATCGTCATTGTCGTCTACCAGCTCTAGAACTACATCCCCAAAACTCGTTGCAGATTGACGTAGAAGACCTTTGTATTTTCTGAGTTATTCAATCTTTTTCTCTGGAATTATATTTTTCTTATTTTGTGTTATTTTTAAACCACTACTTTTTATGGTTTCTTTTGAATTGTCGATAATCCGCATTTATCGACATTGAATACAATTAACAGCTGTTAGGCCATTTACATCAGTTATCTTTTCTATTAGATCATAGAACCGTAAACATTTTGTTTATTAAAGCCTTTTACTGTATTTATGGATGTGACGTGGGGGTGAAGGTTTTGTCTCGTCGGGTTAATTGTACCAGTACAATTTAGATAACTACTAGTAGTACGATTTATAAAACCAAAAGATTTAAAAAATATGTATCTGTTACAAAATAACCCCAAAATCTAACGCGCTCATAACTATATAGTTTGAAAGGTAATTGTTGATATATTCAATAAAATATACAGCAAAATTATAACTTATCTTTTCATTGAGTTATATGCTTAGAAACACTCGTCAAAATTTACATCAAACACTAACCAAATAGTATTTTTTTTCTCAGATACAATGCAATTGTCGGACGTCATTACAAAACCAAAAGAAATTGAGGGCACTGTCAGTGCTTAGTTTCGTTTTGTCAGAAAAGAAAAATAGTGATGTTTAGTAGGAAATTTTGACATGGTACAAATTATCAGGCATTACAATATACCCAACTCTCCCCTACTAGCGGCCCGTCCCGGCTTCGCACGGGTAAACATTTATGCAACATTTTAAAAAATGGTTATTGTGACATAACGATAATAGTTGGACATATATATATCGCAAGGTTTTTTGTAGTTATTGATATTTTCTTTAATATTGTAGAACATACTTTTGTTCTATCACCAATAGTTTCCGCAACGCACGCGACGAAAGATATTTTATAGCATTTTTTACACCTTGAGTTACGTTACTAAAGTTTTAGTAAGGATCCCTAATCTTTTCTAGCAATAAATATAGCCTATGTTACTCAGGGTGAATGTAGTTTTCTAATGGTGAAAGAATTTTTAAAACCGGCAAAGTAGTTTTTGAGTTTATTCATTACAAACATACACACAAAAATACAAATCTTTCCTCTTTATAATATTAGTGTAGATGAGCAGAAGCATGCTTACCTGCCTACAATTTCGCGCACGTTTTGATACGGGTGTTGCGTGAAGTTCGCAGCTTCTAGTCTTTTGAGCACTTCAGTTGCGAGCGGCGCCACTCGCCAGTTTAATGTCGCGATCGCGCTCTTAACAAAAAAAAAAAGCAATGAAATGTTATAATTATAGTATTATTTATTAAAAGACACTGGTATTTCACTCGGATATTTATTTATTTATCTATTTATTAAATCAATCATTTATTTGCATAAACATAGTTGTAACAAACCAGCAGTTGTAAGTTTGATGTTATAGAACTCTAGTACGCTATGTTTAACCATCATAGAGTATAAAAAAAGTAACTATATAAAACATTAATTAAAATAATAATAATAAATTTATAAAATACAATTGCATTATTTAAAAAAAAAACAGCAATTATCCAGTACTCAATTAACTATACAATGTTAAAAGTTGCCATGATATGCCCAATGTATAGAAGTAAAAAAATCAAAATATTTTTTTTCACATTAGACATTATTGTTTACAACATGCACATTGGTTTTTTAGGGTTAATGTGCCAGTTACTTACCTGTAGCGCGTATAGCCTAGCGCAGATGACGAAGGAGGTGTCTGTGTCGACGGGGGCTGCGGGGGCTGCGGGGGTGGCGGTAGAGGTATCGGCGTTGGTGTCGGCGGCGGCAGCGGGGGCGGGGGGTGCACACAGTGCCAGCAAGGCGCGCAGTACGGGCGCGGCCCGCAGCGGGTCTACCCGCTCCATGCCCATCACCACGCTCGTCGCCCAGTCCTCCATAGTTTCCACCGTCACGGATGTCAGGCCTATAGGAGAAATGTCAATTGTAATAGTCTATCTAAAAGTAATATTATAAAGAGTAATTGATATTTAAGTATTTGATTTTTTGCACGTCTGTTTGTAATAGACAAACTCAAAAACTACCTAAGTGATTTTAACAATTCTTTCGCCTGTAAAAAGCTATATTAAATTCAGAGCAAGTGATAGGCTATATTTTAATAAAAAAAAAATGTGCGATGCAGTAGCAGACTAATACTGTACTGTACTGTAATAAAATTCTATGGACAAATTTTACTTCAAATAGGATATTTACTTTGTTTTTATTGTATGCTCTACTAACCAATTACTAAAAGATTAAAGGCATAAAAAAATATAGAAGCGAGACAACACCATGTTTCTCAGGAATAGCATGTAATCTGACATAGCATGAGAAGTCAACAGTGTATTCTGTGATAATCATTGTTTGTAATTCTAAACTGTATAAAAGAAATAATGGGAGCTTAATTTCATTCTAATCATGCTATCAAAAATATTTAATTACCCGTAGTGAGGAGTAAGATGACGTTCTCGTACAAGGCCTGAGCGGGGGCGAAGGCCCAATGTCTGGGGGCGCGCAGTGCGGCGGCGGCTATCTCGGCCGCGAACCGCTGTGATGCTTCTTGCGGCGAGCCGGCGCGTTCCGTCGCAGCTGATACCAGCTTGTTCGTCACCTCGGGACCGAAGTGAGAGAACAGCATCTGGGACCGAACATCTCAATGATATTGTTTCCCTCAAAAAATACGTGTCGTATTGAGATTATCCAAAAGAAAATGTAAATTTGATTAATTAAGGGTAAAATTAAATTTAATAATCCCCAGAAACAGCAACACTTGGGTAGCATGAGTGCTATTCCAAATTGCGTAAAAAATAATAAGTTATATGTTAAAAAGGTCGAGTCCAGGTAGATATATGTAAAATAAATATTAACAGAATATCTCAATATTATTTTTTAAATTTATGATTACTTTTAATTAAAATATATAACTGGATAATGGGAATTTATTGAACATAGTGTTTGCCGTTTCCGATAATTGTTACTACTTCATCCAGAAGTCTTCTTCAAGAGCAGTACAGTGTTTACATCACAGTGTCTTTACTAAATTGTAGTTACATTAATAATTCATTAATATAACTATTTCCATTCCCATTGTCCAGTTATATATTAGAATTTCCTAATATTGTTAATATTATCAGAAAAATCTCAAGAATACTAGCTAATAGCTTCTCTGACTATTACTCACTTTAAACAATGAGAACCTCAGGCCACTGAATTTGTCTTTGCCTTTTTTCTCTTCTACGGTGAGAAACGAGACCAACTTTTCAATATTGGTATTGTCAGTAAAGAATTCCATTATTAACCGCTGGTTGTCTGTCATTTCTTCAAGAGGCAAGTCGAATATGCGGACTTGTTCGCTAGATGGCGCGGCTACCTAAGATATAGATTGAAAAAAATATTAAAATCCATCAACATAAAAGTATTATGAACACAAATCGAAAATAATGTAATCATAATAAATTAAATTAATTACCTCAAGTTTATTGGGCCATGCATAGAAGCCATTTTTAGAATTCTTTAACCATGGTCTATCCCATTCCTCTTCATTCTTAGGAATCCTGTCTTCTGACCATGTTACCCACTCTAAATCCTTTCTGTAACCTAAAAAAAGGATTGAAATGTGTAAATACACTGCCATAATTAGTAATTTATTCAGCTTCACGAATATTATACACAGCTAACATTATACAGTGACGTCAGTAATATTTGTTTAGATATTGGTGCAATGGACACAGATTGAGAAACCTTCCATAATGTTGCTATAAATATTAACAACAATTTTACTCATTTTATAATTATAAACATTTATGTGATATTTGTCACAGATTATCTGGTGCCCTTGAAGAAAACATGTGAGTATTGTCAAGTGGCTGTACTATCTCAACATCGCAATATAAATTAAAAATTATACATCAATAACCGATGACCGACCGAGACATAGTTACATCAGGCAGATCAAGGAAGGAGTTGGTGTCGTGTCATATCAAGAGGTGAAGAGACTCGCTGAAAATCGTAGTGAGTGGCAAGAGTTCCACCGACAAGAGCGCAGCTCTTAAATAGGATAGATAGACATCAATATCAACATATCCAGTCATTAACTCTCCTCTCTTGACCATAGGCCTTATAGTTGATTCGGAAACCAGTTAGTTTTGGTGACGTTTTAAGAGGGACACTGCTGCCCATCCCTCGATAATTAAGTCCACTAGTTGCGTCTTACGATACGAAATGAAGGGGTGGCCCATTCTATGTAGGGACCATGTGGCATTATATATATATATATATATATATATATATATATATATATATATATATATATGTATAATATAAATATTCTTCAAATATCATACATGTGTTGGAAATTTTAAAGATTCGAAACAAACAGCTCATTGTAACAGGAATACAACTACATTCAGGACATTACCTGGCACAGGTTTCTCTGGCCTCTCAACTCCGGCCATCTCGTATGGATCCACCAGAATCTTCTTGATCGGTCGTTTGACTTGCTTCAGTGTATAGTAGACGAGGCGCTGCGCGATGCGACGCACTGTTATGTTATCGTGTAGAAGCGAGTGCAGCATCAGCTTGACGGCGTTACTCGGGTACTCCGTTTGTATGGATGGACAGAAGGACAGCATATGCATAACGAGCTCGAGGCGACGCCACACACTAGGTAATAGAAAATAAAAATAATAAATCTTTATTGCGCATTAATATACATGATTTTGCAAAAAAAAAAAATACAGGCTTCAATCATGGTCAAACTAATTATTTTGACTTAAAAACTGAACTACAAAACGTATTTGGATACAATTTTTATGAGACCAATTTTAAAGTATAACCTTATATTATATAATATATACAAAATTCTTTTGTATCAAAAGAATATTCTAAATTGGTTTACAAATTATAAAGTTATAAGGTAATAAACATAAAAAAAAAAAAATTTAATCGAGCATCTCTTTTTTAAAGTCGATTGAAAAAATTGCATTGTTGCTCATAGCAATCTAGCTACAGACTATAAAAACTTCTTAATTTCATGCAGAAAGTGAAATATTGTCTGGAAGAGACTGCTTTAGCGACAAAACCACCTTTTGTCATTTATAAGCATAGTATAATATATATTTTTATATTATTCTTTAAATGGTGCAATAAAGAGTTAAAAAATAATTAATATGTATTATATATCTTCTGTTTTATAATTCAATTTGATATTTGTGTTGTGATTCCTGTTGATTTTTTTGTTTGTTAATAAATTAGTATTTGATTAACTAATCGAATAAATTTTTTATATTTAGCCATCACTTACACATTCGGCGCATCGGCCACATTCACCAGTTCATCGATTAATTCCACATACAATTTCTCCATTTTATGTGAATGAGCTAACTCCCGTTCTGTAGCGCCCGTTAATTGTTCAATAAAGACTGGGTCAGCGAGTTGAGATGCAGTGAGCAGAGGTTTGGCGGCGTCGATGACGCCCTGGGACATCGTTAGGCGGGTGTTCACGGCCGGATAGTGCCGGTGTAGACATTCGATGAATAGCTGCTCTAATCTGGCGTAGAATTATTTTAAAATGTTATTTATTTATTGAATTTTAGTAAACATCTAAATTATTACCTATTTCCATCCAATTTTATTCTGTCGAAATATACTTTCATGAAAAATACATGGCTTAGAAAATGTTAATGCCTTATATGTTAGTGAAGATTCAAATTTATAATAAGATTTCGTAGAATATGTATATTTCTCTGAACTAATATTATAAAGAGAAAAGATTTTAATTTTTATACATAGTACAAAGAGCACTGACCGAACAATGCTGGGCTTTTCACTAAGCGGCGCGTTGAGTATGGCGGGCCAGAGTAGGCGCACCACCTCCCAGTCGTGCTTGGCTGCCAACGGCCCAGCACGCGGTCCAAGCAGGATACACAGCGCCCCCTTGTGGCGAGCGTGCCCCTCCTCTCCTGCATCAACCCCACCCACCTCTTCACGGAGCAATTTGTTGAGCCGCGGCACAAGCAATCGATACGAGTACGGAAAATACCCGAGCATCCAGTACATACGAATTTGAGCCAGTATGCGTACCTGTGATTGAAATGAAACACGCATTTGGTAAGGCAGATACAATTCTCGGAAAGAAAAAAATATATATTTCTATAAAATATAACTTTATTTTTAAAATACACTTGGTACAAGAGTCTCCAGAGTTTTCGAATATCTCTGCAGAAGACTGTTCTATTCGAATTTGTGTTGCCAAGTAACTGTACTTAGAATGTGAGCCATAGCAGTAAAGTTACAGAGTATAGAGGTATAACACAGTAGTCATCAGGAATGACAACACATTTTATGTACCATGGCGTCACATTGAAATCTAATTATTGAATGAAATATACATACAGTAGCAGGTACATCAAATTAAGATGCATTCTATGTTAATAGGTGACGGTTTTTATTTTCCATCAGTTTGGCAGTCAGCTTGTTCATCATTGTCTTAAAAACGTCTTCGTATACAAGTTAATAGTATAAAAGGTGTGTGTAAACAAATTATAAGGATCATTGCACACTAACCGAGGTGTAGACGTAGACGGAGAGGTCGAAGAGCGCGTGCAGCACGGTCCGTGCGGAGGGTGGTAGACCTGCTTCGCAGGGCAAGTCACGGCGCGCTTCGTGCTGTAGCCGCGCACCGTCCGCCAGCAGCATGCGTAGCCGCGCGGTGGCCGCCCCGACACCGCCGCTGCCGCCGCGGCCGTCTGTCGCTCGCTCCAAGGCCGCGAACGAGCGCAGGCGCGATTCTAGACCGGACGTAGCGCGAAGCCCCGCCGGCACCACCACGCGCTCCCATATCTGACTTAGCGGAATAAAACGGGGGGAAAAGGGATTGTTAGTAATGGAGATTAGTAATCCCATTGCCAGCAATACACCCTATCAGGTCGACCTCCACGTGGTTCCCTCTGGAAACCATAGTGATTGATTTATTGTTGAATTCGTCACGACGGACCAACTGACCTGCTTTATCATCTATCATCCCTCACTGGTGTCATACCAGTGTATACCGATAGTGCAGGCGGGATTACCATTCCATTAACATCCATTAAAAAAAAAAAGCGGATCAAAATGGACCAATACAAGTAGCTGTATGGCCTTGCCCGTGAACGTATAGTGATGTTAAATAGCCTATAACCTTTCTTAACACCGCTACAATAATGGTACAAAAATAATTTTTAAAATCCGACTAGTAGTTCCAGAAGTTAGCGCGTCCAAACAAACAAATTACCCCACTGTAAAGTAGTATAGATAATCCTTAGTATTAAAATACTTGTCACTAAACATGTTGTACATGGGACATATTTTGATAATAGATGGATGTTTGTTGAAATATCAATAGAAACAAACATCATATTTTGTGTTTGATAAAATTAATAAAATATAAAATGTGCCTTTGATAAAAATAATGAAATGTTTAAAGATAAATTGATTTGTTTTACTAAGTTTTAATATAATTAATGGAGAATTGAGGTTTTTTATAGAAAGTTGACCATTATAGCAATACTAATACACATTTTTACCAGAAGGAGACTTTTTTTAATGGATGATAATGGAATGGTACTGGCGGAGCACCAGTGAGGGATGATAGATGAGGATGAAACAGATCAGTTGGCCCATTGTGACGAATTCATATGGAATTAATCAAGATGGTTTCCAGGGCGAGCCGCGTGGAGGACGACCTATGGGGTTGTTAGATCCCCAATACTAACAATCCCTTTCCCCCCAGAAGGAGACTTTGTAGAAAAGTCGTTTGTTTTGGTACCTCTGTCCCATTCGTGTTTCTATCGTGAAGCAGTCGTGTTTACATGGCTGTGATTAGTTTTTTTTTAATGGGTGAAAATGGAATGGTATACCGACGAGGCACCAGTAGCAGATGATAAATGGGAATGAATGCAGGTCAGTTGGCTCACCATGATGGATTCGACAAGAATTAACCATGACGGTTTCCAGGGAGAACCGCGTGGAGGTCGACCTGAGAGGGTATATTGCTAGAAATGGGGACATTAGACCTCATTACTAATAATCCCTTTCCCTACCGCTGTTTCGGTTTGAAGGGTGTGATATGGTAGTGAATTTGTTGGGTACAGAGGTATAATACCTTCGTACTCAGGAAAGGCAACGGATGGCGAGGAATCATGGACGAAACAGTATATAACTGTGTTATGTATATAAGCGACGGTTACCACTTCCCATCAGGTGAGCCGTCAGCTTGTTTGTCATTCTAAATTGCATAAAAGAAAAACATTTGAGTCAACCATCACCGACATATCTTAATTCGAAATTAGTAGAATTTATAAATTACAATTTCCAAATCAATGAATACAAACCACACATATGTACCTGTATTAGCATTTCAAAACTGCGCGTGTCGTCGGACTTGTCCGCGAGCATGCGCGTCTGCACCTCGAGCAGCCGGTCAATAAGTGCGACGCGCATGTTGTCACCATCGAGCGTCACAGTATGTTTGATGCCGTTTGTGAACGGCATGCTTGTAGCGGGTACTAGGGACTCCATGCTGGCCGAGTGGGAAGTGTTATGGATTAGGTAAGTTTTTATGAAGCTCTCTAGATTCGTTTAGGAAAATTTTATATATTAATATTTACTATTATGTAAATTTTAATATTAATAATTTGGCAAAGAAAATTATAAAGCAGATTTGTAATGTTAAAACTGGGGCAACAAAATATAGTTATAACTACAAATACTTACAGGGCAATTGGTTTCTCGTCTGGCGACGGCATGAACATTGTACAAGAAAGTGAAGCATTAATTATATGGAAACTTCTGAGCCTGCGTTCACGGCAAATAGGCCGCTCTCCATCAAGCCACTGCCGCAGGCGAGCTAGTTCCGGCTTCAGGTACCTATCGAGCAGTCTCTGCGCACACGCAGCTTCTTCTGCATTTGGTATGTGCCATTTAAAATTGGCTTCTTTCATCAAACAGCCGTGGCCCCATTCCCTTATAGGTAACCATTTCTCCGGCGCTTCTGAGTAATCTTTAGGAGAACTCCTCCATTCGTATAAATATGTGTTGCTCAATGAAGATAGCATGTGACCGAGAACGTCGCATGCTCGCGCGAGTGCGACCTGGTTGTGCAGTTTAAGTGCCCGGTCTAAAACGGGCAAAATATCGTCTATGTACTTCAAGAGGACGACTCCATCGCATTCCACTACATGCATAAGTAGTACAAGCCTGTATACCACCTCTCTCGAGGGATCTTGGTCATGTATAGCCTCATCAGTCGCCAATAAATTATTTAGTTCTCGACACAGTTCAGGTATGAAGGCTGCTAGCGTAGCTTCGGAGTTCACACGAGCGAATACACGCAGTAAGACACCGACCATACTTCCTGAGACTGTAATTTCAAATGTGGTTTCAGTGGCGAAGGCTTTGAACTTCCGGAGTGCCTCTTTGAATATTTTTGGTGAACACTGCATCAGAACAGCGGTTGCTGCGGACGACAGTGACGTTTCAACTACTGCATCCGTTTTACTACGGCCGAATTCATTTTCTTTTGTATCGTGACGCACATGTTCAAGAACACTAAATTCAATTATAATAAACAACCTATCTAAAAAGACGAGAACGAAGTCTTCAAATTGAGCAGTAGACTCGCATGTGAGTAACTCTTCTTCGGTGAGATCAGACCAATGCTCAGGTGCTGAGCTGCAGTCAATGAGTGGAACCATCCAGCTGAAGATGAGTATGAAATGTAAGGTGACTAATGTCTTTTTGATGTCGTTGGGATCTAAACCAGGTAAAACGGCCATTAAAAAGGGTACGACATGGGTTTGACCTTCAGGATAATCACCGTCGCGGCCACGGAGCATCGGCCTGGCGACGGAGGCGACGGCAGACATGGCTGCAGTCACTCGGTGAGGTTCCGTCAGAGATGTGAGGGACGTTCGAAGTTTTTCTAATAGTGGAGGTACCACGATGTTTGGTCGGAGGGTAGCTAAATTCTGCAGTGCCATAAAAATGTCGAGAGAACCGCTACGACTGTAAACCGCTTGGACTGTCGGCCCAAGTAATATTGTCACGAATTCTGTTATGTCCTCATCTCTGAGTTTACATTCTTCTGGTGTTTGGTTCTCCCAAGATCCTGCGAATCTTTTTTCTCGCTCACGGCGGACTCTGAAAATATAATCTAGTTTTATAAATTTATTTTATAATAATTTATTTTGCATTATTTCTCCAAAACAGAACAGGGAATTGTTGAGTAATCTCTGTAATTTATATTTAATAAATGTTTTTTTCATTATTTACCTTTTACCTATGTTTTAAATTATGACACGTTAATAATTTTTGTAATGACATGTTAAGATACACTTGTAAAAAATGAGATTAATAAATACCTGTTGAGGAACTCTCTAGCTAGTTTACGCAATAGGTCTCTCAGTTTGTAGGACCAGCGTCCGGAGTTAGCGCTGTGCAAGTAGCTCTCAACGCCCGCGAGGAAACTGCGCAAGTGCTTTAGTACCACGCCGTCAGGTTTTATGGTCCACACTATCCATCTCGCTACTTGTTTCATTTCTGACATAGAAAATAATGCTTTTTAGCATTTTGAACACTTCTCATACATTGAGGTATTTTATAAATTGTATTATATAGAAAAATCTCATTAAAATTGTGCATTTCGATCGTAATAACTTAAAATAGAACTACTGCAATGTAAATCATAAATTTATCATAAATCATAAATTACAGAACATGCGGCTGCATTTTTATTTAAGTACTAGAGTAGTATTTTTGAATAGTAATTTTTTTAATATCCGCCCATTCGAAACGCAATTTTTGCCAAGAAGAACGGGCAAGAAGAGCAAGAGAAGGGCAAGAGCAACTTAACTGTTGCTCTTTTCAAAAAGTTTAATTATATGTTTTCAAACTGATAATATTATAACTGTACTCTTTTCATGACATAATTGGAAACAGAGACCAGACGATTGAAAAAACCTCTTTACGCGATTGGTAATACGGTTCATTACATATAACTCGCCGAGTTTAATAGGTTGTGTCGAGAGCATAATATTGACAAATTAATACAGTTTAATCGGCGGGCTATGGAAACTCAATTATAATTTTTGCAAAGCGGATTTTAATTCCCTATGTAGCTAGGAAGTGAATGCACTTTTTCTGTGTATATTTTACGCAATATCTTCAAAAATTCTCAGCTGATTTCGATAATTTTGATTGGAATCAATAGGGTTCACTCTTTTGTTGGTATCTCATTAATTTTGTTACAATTAAATAACTTATTTTCTTGAAATAAAATACAGTCATAACAGAAAATTAAATACAGAGTAATATATTACTCACTATTATTATAACTTTCTATAGATAAAAGATTTTTTAAAATCAGTTAAGTACTTTTTGAGTTTATTCATTATCATCCTTTTCTGAAGAGAAAATAAACCATTCATTCATTATTATTATACAAAAGTCTTATAATATTAATTTAGATAACGATATACTATAATTTATAATGGAATAAAAATTTTACCAAGGGAATGATTTCTCGTGAAGTGCATGTCTTTGTAGCTAACAGGTAAGTTGAGCGCGTGAAGGAACCGCGTGAACATGGACGATACGTAGGGTGTCCAGTCTACTGCACCAGGATTCATCTTCGCAAGTCCAGCGAACAGTGTCATTAGTTCCTGTGTAACAAGGACAAACGGTCACCCATTTAAAATATGAAAAATATTTTCATTTACTTACACCTTAACAGAGGTGAGAACCTCTGTTAAGGTGTAAGTAAATGTAACCACAGAATCAGCCAAACACAGCAAATTATTAGCCCTTTACAAAAGATTTATAAGTTTATTATTTGTTTCATAAATAATATAATATACGTAGACTATTATATAAATAATTATTTTTGTAATTCACATTTACAATTCAAAAATAATCCCATGAAATATATATAGAGACTAGTATAATAAAAATTAAATAAGTCATCACTTAGTGTTAATAAATTAAACTTGATGTTTAAAATTTCATCGCGACGTTCAGATTGGACGTCGTGTTACATTAGGCATATCCAATATAAACTTAAGATTAAAAATAAATAGATTGGTAATTTAGAAGAAAAAAAGGACAGAAACATGTATTTTAAAGCGAGACAGATAAATGTTTATATACAAAGTATAAGCTCGAATAAGGTTTTGCGGGAGTTATAGACAAAACAAATTTTAGTTATTTTACATTTTGAAGTGTAATTAGTTTTAAGTGAATGTAATTGTTAATGTAATTTGTGGTTAGTGTGCTTGCTATAGCTGGATTTAATATAAATTAGAAAAAGAAAAAAGTACACATTTTTTAATAAAATATGTTTGAAATATTATTTAAATACAATATTATCATCAGAACAGAACCATCATAAATATTTTGTAGAAGAATATCTAATTTAATCCAAATAAAGTGCCGACTGTCCACAAATTGAAATGAAAACTATCTATTATATGGATATAAAATTTCCCTTCCTCTCCCGTGGGTGTAGTAACAGGTAACTAATGGAATTGGGGGGAAAGGGATTGTTAGTAATAGAGACTGAAAATCCCATTGCTAGCAATATACCTAACCAGGTCGACCTCCACGCGGTTCCCCCTGGAAACTATCATGATTAATTCCTGATGAATTTATCATGATGGGCTAACTGGCCTGTTTTCATTCTCATCGATCACCCTTCACTGGTGCTTCGCCAGCGTATCCCGTTAGCGCAGGCGGAGTTACCAATCCATTTTCATCCAACAAAAAAACTAATGGAACTTAGTGATCGAGAGATAGGCAGCAGTGTCCCTCTTAAAACATCACCAAAAGCTAATCAGCCTGCCAAGCGTGCCAACTACTGCAAAAACTCGCCTTATGGGTGAGGCCTATGTTCAACAGAGAACAACTAATATGATGATAATGACCTTTATAAATTCAGAACTGTCACATGTACATATTGACATTACACGCCCATTAGTGCAACTGATTTTTAGTATCGCCCATGTGAATGTTAGAACGGTAGTAGATTTCTTTATATGTGGTTTTGCTATATCTATGTCTTGTCCGAGCGATGGAGGTGGGCTCGCCTCACGTCGGATTGAATTGTAATATGCTCGACGAAATATTTACAGGCCGATTATTACGGATAAAAGTAGTAAGGAAGTTTTTTATTCATTAACAGTCCAGAAAGAGAAACAGTTGTAATTTTTTTTTATTATGTAACAACATCTTACCGCGATGTCGCATTGGGAATTGTAGCAAGTGTCCCACAGCGTCATAAGCTGGTCGAACCAAAGCAGATGTCCTTCAGCGGCGCGGTGTGGTGGAAGCGACACTGGCAGGAACATTACGAGTTGGCTTAACAGAGAGCCAGATGACCACAGGCGAATCTGGGGCAAGAACTCTTCCAATATTTCTTTTGTTGCTCCAGGCTCGAAGTAACTGCAATATGTAATTACATTTTTATATCACTACTACCACTTTAAGCATAAATATTTGCTTATATTTATATTTATTATATATTTATTTCATATATTTATTTATAATATTTTATGTACTTTATTTATCAGTGTTAAGACGCTTTGATCAATCTTTGATAATATTATTTTATAATGTTTGCTGGAAGAGAACTCTTACAGAGTTAAGCTCGCCTGTTGTACATCTTTATATATATATATATATATATATATATATATATATATATATATATATATATATATATATATATATATATATATATATATATATATATATATAATATGTGAATTATGATTGGATTATAATTTGTTATTTCTCTAAAATTTAATTTTGTAAATGATACTTTTCAAATTACAATTAACAAGTCTAGGCCATTGTATTTACTTATGTCAAGAGAAGAACTTTTATAATAATTATCAAATTGAAGAATATTCTGAAGTAACAAAATTAAAAAATAAAATTACTTACGGTCTTGCGCATGCAATCATCGACATATATGATCCCTCTAGAGACCTGAAATAAAAAAAAATAGCATTTTAAGTTTAGTCTATAGCAGAAAGTACACAATAACCTGCCACCAATTGGCTCACAAATGATTATGTTAAGTACATATGAAGTCCCATGAAAGTGACATGACCCTCCAGACAAATGGTAAACATATCTGTTTGTAGACAATTGTTACGCTGTACATAAACGAGAAAGATGCATGCATGCATGTTTGCGCATGTATCTTTCTCAATAAGACAATAACGTGCAGCGACATATTCTTTCTTATGCGTGCGATAGTCTAAGCGTATCTGCAAATAAATCCGTTTGCCACTTGTCTTGGCTACCTTCCCTACAAGACACATGGCAAAAGGATACGTCGACAGATACATTTTCGCTACCTCATGAATAAGATAAAGCGAGACAGCAACATCAGATGTCAAGTTAATTTTCATTTACGACAACGGAAATGTTTCTACCGAGAGATTCGTTTGCCATTTGACTAGGGGGGCTGGTGAGTGAACCCAATCCAAAAATGTACGAAGAAGCAGACCCAGATGTAAGAATTATTACTTGGGCAGTTCGTTTTCGTCCTGCGCCATGTCAAAGCCGAACAATTGAAGGGCATCGTCGAGCCCTCGGCCCGACAAGAATTTGCGTACCAGGTCGAGAATGCGGGAGTCTTGGCTCTCAGAGAGCTTCGGTGTGTCCCTACACACAGATGTTATTTGCGTCAGAACCACACAGCTCTTGATGATTTACAATTTACAGTATTTTATAGTGATTTTTAATGTTAAAAGAAATATATGGAGTATTTAGCATGTGACTATTAGCACTGAGAGATCATAATATTGATTGTATAAACACGAAAAAAAAAACATATGAAATATTGTTTTTGTAGAATAATATTTATATAACAATCTATACATTATTTTAAAAAAGATAAACAATAAACAATATTAGATAGATAAATAAATAATAAGAACACAAGTTAAATTTAGGAACAGCAGTGACATGTTAATAAAATAACAAACAATTTACTATGATTATTTTTAAAATAGAATTTATATAATTTATAAAAGCTATAAATAAATAAGGTTTTTTTTTATATTTTATAACACACTTGAAATACGATTTGAATTAAATTATATTCATATAAATAAATAAATACTTACGTAAGGTTATGAAACAACCCAAAGGTTTTGTCGAATATTTTTCCCAAATCGAAAAGCGGTCGCCAGGGTAGGGTCAACTCTTCGGGTGAAATTAAATGTCTTTTCCTGGAAATAAAAATATAATACAGACAAGATAATGAAACAAAGGCGGCTTACAGGACAACAACATAATGTTTCTTTTGTCTGTAGCTGGTTATCATAACCTATTTATACGAGTAAGCGCGTACTTCGAATTCTTTATCCTGTGAATACTGATAATTTAAACTTTGACAGTCTAACACTATAAAGACATCACTATCTGGGTACAGTCTTCAGTAAGGCAATGATCTTCACCTTCCAATTAGAAATGTAGGATTGTTAGTAACAGAGTCTAATGGGCCCCATGCTAGCAATAAACTCTGTCAGGTTGACAACCACGAGATTTTTCCTTGACGCCGTCGTGGTTAATTCCTGATGAATTCGTCACGATGAGTCAACTGACCTGACTTCGTGGTCATTTATCATCACTCACTGGTGCCCCGGCAGCGTACATTGAATTATAGCCTAATTCCATTGTTGTCCCATAAAAAAATTGACTTTTACATATATTACTGATAAATATAGTATACAGGTAAGCCACTTGCTTGTTTCTTTCTTTCAAAAACTGATAGAGAAACAAGCAAGGTTTTGCCCAAAATACTACAGCATGGTGTTCTTCAAAAGGGAGGTAAAGAGATTTCTTCAGGGTCGGCAACGCGCGCGTAATACCTCTGGTATAGCAGGCGTTCATAGGCTACGGTAACCACTTACCATCAGGTGGGCCGTATGCTTGTTTGCCACCTCAGCTCACCTTATAAAAAAAAATAGACTGAGATTAGGTTATTTCATAATTTACATTGTACAATTTTAACACCACGATTTTATTAGAACAGCATTAAACATATTATACAGACATGAACGTCATAGATGTTATAGAAAGTGAGGATTGTGACACCGGTCGTTTCTCATGCGTTGCTGTTCCTGTCATCTAATGTACTTTGTCCTTCATGTCAACTACTACACTGCCTGGAATGTGAGAACCAGTTCTACTGTCATAATACTCATGATAGCATCTTTGTATCCGTTGTAACTAACGGAAGAGAAATAGTGCCAAATAATAAAAGATTCAAATATCGTTCTTGGCAAAGACAATGGCGTAATTATATCATATCATTGTTCGATAATATATTGAGCTTCTAAATATAGATACATTGATAAATCGTGAAATACCTATAAGAAAGCTTAATTTTAATTATGCTAAAAGTTCCTATGTAATATAAGCATTTTATTTACTTTTTTAGAATTGCTATAAGAACAAGGTAAAAGGGTGAAGTCGCGAGTTATTTGAACGCTTAGTTTACGATATACAGTTCCGTATAAATAGGGAAGTGGTAGTTTCTTTCTTGTTCCATTTTAAAATAATCTAATTTCTCATAGCACATGGCATCTGGAGTACTGAGAAGTAGTACTGTACAAGTAGATAGGAAACTATTAACTAGTACACAGTAAATAAAATATGATACATATAGTATTTAGTTCTACAACTTATTTTTAAGTGGTATACTTAAAATTATATATATATAAACATTTATTATTTTAATTTATTATAAGTCTTCAAAATTAATTCAACCAAAAATCAACCTTATTAACATAAAGAAACAGGACAGATTATTGCACTATAAATGTCGCTTGCTAAAATAAATTACAATAAGTACTATAGTACTATTTTATAAAATACTCACTTTGTTAGCATAACGAACATTGTTGCAAACTTGTGGACTTTGTAAGGTTCAAGTTCGGGTATCAACATTAACTCATAGGCAAGCTTTATAAATGCAATATGGTCTTCTTTGCTAAACTTCAAACCATAAATCCTTATATACCTATAAAAGAGAAATAAATTATTAGTAAAATTAAATAATCATGACTCGATGAATTTAAATGATGAATTTTGCAATTACAAACCTAACTAGATTATTTATTATTGTTAACGATGTTTACAATACTCGAAAGTAAAAGACTAGAAATTTTTAAGTTTTATAGTGTGTGATTTCTATTACTCATACCCACCGACATTGTATTTAATCACTGATTATATTTTTAAAATCTGATGTTTTGTTTACTAACTAGTACTGTACTAATAATTGTATAGTAAAATCTTTGTGTAGAACTCAACAAATAAGCAAACAAAGTAGTTAATAACCCAACTATAGACAGTCTGCCAATAGCAGTATCAATAAAAAATCAATTAATTGATTGAATATTTCGATTGGTTTCATTGGATACATAATGGAATGATTATCAAATAACAGTCGTAAGGTTGACAAATACATTAAAAACTAGTAAGATTCAATAAGATGCAGTTTTTAAAATCAATAATGATTTTTGGTAACTGTGATAGTAGAAACATAGGGCCTACCATGAAATGTTTTCCGAAATTTCAGAGTCAAACGAAACACAAATTTGATGTTAAAATTACATTATACGTGCCGTTTGGAAACATTAAAAATGTTAAAATATTGTTCCTTTAGACTTTTATGATTGGATGTATGACGAACGAAATGTTAAACACCATTTAGTGGTCCGATTTTGGTATAAACAAAAACACGAAATTGAGTCCGAAATTTCATTTCATGGTAGACCCGCTGTCTCAGGAGGTTTGGACACCATAAATGATTAAGTGGTTTGTATTAACACATCTATTTACTGCCCAATGTAAGCCAGAGATGTAGCTGTTATCACGGAATTTATTCCTCAGGCTAGGTTTTCAGAAGCGCCAAAATAGTAATTTCTTTAAATAGTTAAAAAACTTTTAAAATTGTATGTTTAGGTTTTGTATAGCAAATATTTTTTTATTTAACAAATTTCGTTTTAGTAATAAATCACACATCCGCAATTCACAGAGTTTTCAAATACAGTTTTAAAATGTTACTCCAATGGATATTGTTACAAAAAATGTTGATGTATGTAGTTTAAAATATTCAAAATATGGAAATATGTGTTACTATTTTTATTCACTGAATGCCAGTGTGATAATTTTAACAAAACTTAGATCAGACGATACTCATAGAGTTTAGTTTATTTACATTTTTCTTTAATTTGATCAAAACAGACACATACGGGTTATCCCAAAATTTATCCTAAAGAAAAAGCAGGATGTCGGTAAGTTTATAAACATTCACTTAACATTGAAGTACAGGACATTTATCTTATCGTCACACCAATTCCCTTTTGGGGTAGGCAGATAGAATAGTGTCAATGGCCTCTATTCTTAAATTTTTTGTTTAACTTGTAATTACATTGTGTGATCACTTCGAATAAAAATAATTAAGTATAATCATTAATATTAATATCTAATTCTGAAATTTATTAATGTAATTATAAATTGAAGTGACATGATTATTATTATTTTAAATTAATATTTGAATTTATAATTGAATAAAATATGATAAATTTGTAATAGGAATGACATAATTAAATGAAACTGAACTTGTAATTCTGTAAATTATAAATAAATGATCTGTATCGGTATTCCCTTCTGTAATTATAAACATGCAACCAAATAATTAACTAGATCATATGACAGTCTACTGATGTCTAATATTTTACTACATAAATAAAAAACAGATTGATTGAATACTTTGTTTTGTTATTAATTTTATTTAGAGAATATTTCTAAATTTCAATAAAATAGACTATACTATATATTTATGGTGCCTTTATACCAATTTCAGGAGTCCCTTTTCATAGACAAGTATACAGTAGATTATACCATGAGCCCCTATATACTATGTGGCTACTGGGAGGGCGGAGGATGAGATTGTTAGTACTGGTAAATGTCTCCATTACTAGCAACATATTCTGTCTGGTTGACCAATTCCATAGGGCCATCCTGACATGACCTCCTTCTAACCTATTATCATTCACTAGTGTCCCACCAGCATATACAGATAGAACAGATGGGGCAACCATTCTATTTTAATCCCATTAAAAAAGAAATGTGGCCACTGTGCCCTTGATTTGAATAGCATCATTAATCATTATACAAGTCATTCCATTTTCCAGTAAATATATTTGATAATTAAGGCTCATAAATATATATACGTCAAATTGATAACCTTCTCCTCTTTAATTTTTTGTTAGTTGAAAATTATACATTTATTATAACATTTATGTAAATTAAATTGAACTCATTCCTAAATGCATCACATATGTTTACAGTACATAGAAAATTTGTTACTATATTTTATTTCCTATAGTGTAACAAAAAGTAACAATCTTAGATAATAACTATACAGTTATCTACTGTAAATATGATATTTGTTGCATTTTTGACATAACATCTATTAATTATATTAAGACAGCACCTTGACAAAGTCCATTATATATTATAAAACAATTTCAAAAAGAATTTGTTACAACTCATTAATTAACATCCTCAAATGCTGTAGCATATGTTAAATGTGTATTATAATAGGCCAAGTGTAGTTAGTAGGAAGTTCTGGGTAATAGCCAGAACATTTTAGAGAGATGCAATGTTGCCAAAGGTTAAGTGTAAACCAAAACACAATACATATATGACATGAAAGAATGTGATTAAATATTTATAAATTGATAAGGAAATATAAAATTGAAATATTGTATGCAAAACTATGTCAATTATTTTAATATTTTATACTTATATCCCATGTCACTATGTTTATTTATGCAAAATTTTATTTGGATGTTAATTTTTGAATAATGATGACTTAACCAATTTCAATGAAATTTATCATAGATTGGAGGTAGGAGAAAAAACAATTTCTGCCAAGTCAGCTTATGATAGATAAAAATATAACTTATTACACAATTAATTTTTACAGACATGAATTGCTATATAACCAAAGGATAAGTAATGCTGTTAAACTAATTTACAATAAAAACTGATCTAAACCTGTGACATAGCATATTATTGTTTTTTTTTTCATGTGTTATTTTCACCAATTCCCCATTAATTTTGTTATTTCTCTTGTATTAAATAAGGAAAATATATTATTTGATATAAATTATATTTTACTGCTGTTATTATACTTTTAAAGTGTTACCAATTATTTTTATTTAATTCTTTATTGTACACACCAGTTATTTATAAAAATATGACAAAGGTAATCAAATGTATAAAGGCGAGCTTAACTCTAATAGAGTTCTCTTCCAACAAATCCAGAAAAGGAGCATCAATGTCAGCGGGTAGAGTGGTGTACAATATTGTGATAATTTTTAAACAAAGAAACTAGACAAATTTAAATTAATTACATTATATTTAATTGTATAAATAAACATATACATAAATATATTTTTATTAATTAAAAAAGTGTGAAGTATAATGATAAAAGTATGATTCAATATTTAATATATCTATGATTAGCTATAATAAAACATTATTTACAGAACGAAATGAATATGAAATTAGTATCAGCAATTTAATTATATATTATAATAAAAAAAAAAAAAATATAATTACTTCATGAGTCTAGACGACCAGACTCCGCACGCAGGCTTCATCTCGCGGAGCATTATTGCTTTTGCCAAGTTGGTCTTCACTTGTTCCAAAAATTTCTGTGACTCCTCATCCAGCTCATCAACATAAGGAAGCAGATAATTTGTGAGGATTTCCTTTTGTGGTTTAAAACCCAGAGCCAGGACTCTTTCTGGGCTTGTTAACATTAATTCACCCTCGTCGTCTTGAAACATTTTGATCAATTCCAGCAAATTATGATTATGAAATTTAACAAGGTGTTCGTAACTAATATTTTCTAGTTCTGATGGTAGGCATGTGCGCTGCTATATAATATATTGTCGTCGGATAATCACTATTGTTTCGTCATCAATACATTACGATCAACATTGAATTTACACAAGTCATGGAAATTGACTGAATGATTATTAAAAATTACAAACCCGATGAACAAAACTACGTTCCGTTTTAATATTTTTTTGACGTTTGACATTACCAACAAGTTAATATGTAAGCTTGACGTTGTCTTAATGTTTTACTTAGACTGTGTACAGTGACTTAGATACTTCTTACGTCATAATAATATTAGAATCTGACTAAAGGCTAATGCATACTATAACATTTTAGTATGAATTTACGCACGTTAAACTGAATTAAAAATATATGTTATGCAGTTAAGTTGCAAACTTATTGCACTCTTTGCTACGAAATACGAAAGAAACATTATGTTCTGCACTTTTTTTTCACTGTCGCACCAAATTATTAGCTAAAAATAAAACTGTGCGCTCTGTTTGAACATCAACTGCAAATTAAAATATACGTTGAGATACATTTGCTCAACGCTAAAATAGAATGAAATAATGACGTCAAGCTACGTTCAATACACATCAACGACCGCCCCTTAGGTCGTTATGAATAAGCCAGACAGGTCTGGCCAGGGCCGGGCCACCGACCATTAGTAGAGTAGGTACAAAGAATGTAAAACTACTGAGTAATTACTTAATATTGCGTGTGAAAAAATGGGTTGTTAGGCTACTTATAAACGGGAAGGATTTTTACTATTGAAACCCAAATTATTGATAATTTACCAAGTGAGCCTTTCTTTTTCAATGTCTTTAATAAAAATCTATTCAAATTCTGGAAATAGGTATCTTTCAATATAAAGCTACTTTTATAATCGCGGGGCCAGACAGTTTGGTATAAATTTTTATTTGAAGTTTCCCTCATTATATACTATTTAAATTTCCTATTAAAATTTTAAAATGAATGAAAAAGCATGGTGATACGTTATAGATTGTACACTACTTCACGAGGCTTCTCTAGTAAAAAATCGTGGTTTATTACACTTGATAATATAAAAATAGTTAAGATTGAACCCGTAAGTAACCATTATAACTAATTAGTTATAAAGATTTTTTTTAATTCCGCTACCATTAGCATGCATGCGTCATCCAACAATCAAAGGTTGACTGTTATATTACTTCCAAAATTTCTACAACCCTTCATATTAGCTATTAATCTCTAACTGTCGTAGTGATAGTTGACTGTAGCAGAATTAAACAAAATAATTCTAATCAATTAACCAGTTGTTTGGACTTCCGCAAAATAACACAGTTTAGTAAAAAACCATTGTATTTTTGATAGAAAATGTAGTAATATTTATATAGTTATGAAAATAAAAATAGGAAAAATGTATTTAAAGAAAAATTTATTTCAAGTATAAGTAAAATAATAATATAACACAAGAGATCATAACTAGTAAGTTGTAAAATAAAATAGCCATGTTTACACACAATGTTGTGTAAAGATACTAAAATTTAATCTGAAATCTAATTCAAATATAAAAATGTAAACAAAGAAGTTGTAATACTAAAAAAAATTTTTTCATAAATTTGTGCCAGAATTCTATGGAACTATAAACTGGAAAAGTAATACCTAACAAATATTTTAAAATACTCTAAACATTTTACTATTGTCTTTTTATATTCATGATGCCTTTATTTTTTTTAATTTAATAACTGAATATATTTAGATCTTTATTAGACATAGGCATTAAAACATGTTTCCTTAAATACAGTTGTAATTTGAGTATATATTCAAAATAGATATTTACTTAACTATTTGTAAGTTAAGAAAAATCTACTATACATTAATGAAAATAATATATAATTTATCGCGAAGGAAATGCGGTCATAGCTATTAGTAATAGTTGACCTTGAACTGTATAGAGGAATGTTGACTATCTCGAGATGTTACTTTGACATTGACATTTCTTTTATTTATATATTAATATACGTATCTAGAATTAGATTTCAGATTTATAATTAATGATATTTAAGCATATTTTCAATAGAAAAGATTCCTTGTAAATAGTAAAATATAAATACAATAATTATTTTTGTCTAATAAAATAATATATTGTAAATGTTTACATTGTTTCGAATAAATTTCATTTATTATTTTTTTATATATAAATGTAGCCAAAAGTCTTGTGTCTCTATATAATATGTTATTCACACCGTAACAGTTTCTTTCTGTGTGGTATAGAGACTGGCGGCGAACACGATGTCTCTCTTAATAGCGGTGGATGCTTCCATCATCTTAGCTTGTAATTTCGGGTCGCCTATAGCTACCGCGGCGTCTTTCACGTCTATTAGTAACTGTTAAAAAATATAATTAATAAATTTAATGAAACTTCAAAAAAAATTAAACATATTCAATATTTCTTACTGATTGTTTACAGTGTTATAAAAGTGAAATAAAATATCAGAATGGAAAAAAAGCTTTTCTTAAGCTATTATGTTAAAAAATTTGGAGTTATATTTATGTATCTGAAAATTTCAACTTAAAGCTAAATATGAAGTAGGCGCGAATTTTTATTGGTAGATCCATGTTCAACTTATTCTACAATTAACAATTTAGTTCACTATCACAGCATTTTTTAAATCAACCAGACAGAAATTAAACCTTTTTTTTATCAATTGTACAAATAATTATAATGTTGCCAGACATTGTTTAGCGTTATTATGGAAATTAAAAGCCTAACTGCGGTTGCCAACCCATCTACCAAGCATGGCAACTACTAACAACACCTCTTCCCTCTCCCAATAGGGGAAGGCCTATGTTCAGGAGTGAACAATTAACGGCTGATATAATAAGAAATCTTAATATATATTTTATCATTAAAATATTTATAAAAGATTATAAAATAAACTACAAATTTATCTGTATTATTTACCTCGTGAAGTTGCTGTATACACCTTACGATGATGCCCTCTTGTACGTCAGTAAGATCCATGATTTCAGCAAAAGGTTTTTCCAGGGCCCACTCATACACCACTCTCACTAAGCCAAAGTTCAATCGATCTGGCTGGCCCTCAAACTGATTTACCTGCAATACGATACATTATACATTAAGTGTCGTTTTATATCACATCACAAAGCAAACTTTCTTTTCTATCGACATCTCTAGTGATGTACAATTCCGTGGCCACCTCGAAGATAAGGTGAAGCTGGCATTCAAAAAACTCGGTGTGCTCAATAGAGTGAAGCATTACTTCACGCCGGATCAGCGATTAATGCTCTATAAATCGCAAATCCGGCCCCTCATGAAGTATTGCTGTCACTTATGGGAGCACCTAAATACCAGCTTGAACCTTTCGACTCGTTGCAACGATGAGCTATGAGAATTGTCGATGATCCCAGGCTCACAAGCGGTATCGAACCCTCGAGTCTTAGGAGAGATTTTGCCTTACTCTGCATGTTGTATCGCCTGTACAATGGATTGTGCTCAGAGGAATCATTCAATATGATGCCCACAGCCACTTTCTACCATCGTACGGCTCGCTATCGACAGGGAGTTCATCCTCATATCCTACAGCCTCAATCGTCGCGTACTGCGCGGTTTCAGTAATGTTTCCCACGAATATCAGGTTGTGGAATGAGCTCCCTGCCGAGGTTTTCCCAAGAGACTACAGCATGGGGTTCTTCAAAAGGGGGGTAAAGAGGTTTCTTCAGGGTCGGCAACGCACGCGTAATACCTCTGGTATTGCAGGTGTTCATAGGCTACGGTAACCACTTACCATCATCACGGTGGGCCGTATGCTTGTTTGCCACCTCAGTGGTATAAAAGAAAATAGACTGAGATTAGGTTATTTCATAATTTACATCGTACAATTTTAACATCACGATTTTATTAGAACAGCAGAATGTATGTAGCTGTTTAGAGAATCTTTTAAATTTATATGCACCTTCATATCTTTATACTGTGCATATCCACGATATTGTCAATATTGTTGTGGAAAATAATGTATCTAATTAAAATTGAATACATTTTGTTCACCTTTTTGTGTATTATTCTAATAAACTCATATATTTTGCCGCACTACGGTCAATTATAAAAATGCTCAATAGGATCAAATAAGAAAACGAATATTTTATACTACTACGACACGCCTAGTGTTGCAAGCGTCCATAGGCTACAGTAACTGTTTACTATCAGACAGGCTGCATGCTTGTTTGCCACGTTCATGGATTAAAAAAAAAACTTAGCAATAATCAAGACATTCAGTATTCCGATTTTACAAGTTATTACTTGTAAAATTGCAAAACATATTTGTTTCAAATTATTCTTATTTGTTAAAATAGTAATGGCACAGTCTACATTGAGGACAGAAAAGATAACTTACCATATAATTGGCTTCAATTTTCATAAGGTCGTTATCTATTTCCTCGATAGCCTTGCATCCCTCCGCGAGCTTTTCTGTTAGGACTGGCTCTATCTGCGTACGCGCTTGGAACACGAAGCAGCTGAGTAGTGCGGCGATCTCCGCCGGACTCTTGTCGGTGAACACGTTGCGGAACACCAGCTCTGATATTATGAGCTCGTTTGTACCCATTCCGCATGCCACGCGACCTTTATAATGAACCACAAATTTATTATTGAATATTGGCATATAGTTTTTGTCAGGGGAGTATTATTATTATTGAAGGACGGGCTTTTCAGGCAGAAAAACCTATGACACTGCGACCTTTCCATAATCTTTGTTGCTCGCCCTTTTTTAAAGTTCGCTGTTTTTAAAATTACTATCAGTAATGGGAATTTTAAGATGTATTTTGTAGCGATGTTTTTTATCTCCTCAGGATATAAAGTATATTTACCAAAGGATTATTTGTTTATGTATGAGTGGGCTACAGCCATAAATTAAGACCACGTGTTAAGGGGAGGGGGAGAGGTAGAGATTTTGCTGGCCCTTTAAATATGGGGCTTAATGTACTCTCCAGAAATGTCTTTGTATCATCATTCACATTGAAAGCTTCACCCGCATTCTGGGATGGTCATCAAACAATTCTGGGATAGGCATGGACCAAATAGTACACGTATGCATATAGGGATTAGTTTAGTCATTAAGAGGCTCAGAGGTAACAAACAAGCTAACTTTTGCGTTTATAGTATTAGTAAGTATTACCTTTTAACATAACACTGTCGTGTTCATCAATGTATTTGAGTTCTCGCAGTACCAGTAACCTCCGCTGGTAGTCCGGGTATAGCGCGAGGTTCTCAAATGACAGCAGTCGCTTGTATTTGTCTCGCTTGCGCTCAGTCTGCTTGCGTTCGTACACGATCGCGAATTCGCTCTTAAAATTAGCTATGTCTGTGTATTTCTTTTGTGTTTTCAATTTTTCCTGCAAGAGGTTTTATGATAAAGTAATGACCTAATTTACAAAAAGGAATCAAATAAAAACGGTAATACTACTTTCCTGCCTAGCACAGATTTTCGAGCTAATGTTCTAGTGCAGCGATTCCTAAAGTGGGTTCCGCGGAACCTAGAGTTTTTATAAAAAAATCGCGAAACTATTTATACAGTGGAACAACTTCAGTCTTCACATTTAAAATTAAAAAGAAACTATAAAGTATTATTCTTTTAAAATATTTGTAATGAAAGCTTTTATTTTTTATTGTAATTATAGTGTTTTTAATTTGTAATAATTTAATATGGGGTTCTAAAAAATAAATGGTATTTGGTAGGTGTTCCCGTTATATTAAAAGTTTAGGAACGCCAGTTCTAGTGTGTGAATAATGTTTTTAGGAATTAAGGGAATATGCTTTGCTGCTATGTCCGAATATCAGTATATTAATCAGCCTTACAAATAAATGTTATAATACTAATATTAATCTTTTATTACCTACATGTAAAATGAAGTTATACAAATATTTTCTTACCTCATACTCAGCCATGTCATCGAGAAGATGCAGCAATTCGCCTGAAGTGACAGGTAGTGACTGCTTCAGGTTTATGTACTCCAAATTAGTCGCTCCCGTCCGGACCGCGTGGGAGAGCCTGGATAGCTCTTGTACTACACTCCCACAGCTGGACCCTACTGGGGCATCTTTGAATCTGAAATATTATTATATTATTTTATAAATTATAGGTAACAGTACGAACAGTACGAACTTTAGGAGAGTGCGCCGCAGCCTGGCGCTTAGATGCCATTTAGATTCAAGGCGGGCGTAAAAATATGAAATAGAAGACGCTTAGGTTTATTTTCATTACCAGTTAAGTCTCTCATTGCTGCCCATTCAAAAAAGTTGCCCAGGGGCATTAAGGTCGGCCCTGGGTGCGAATGACATTTTAGTCATCTATGAAAGAACGTTGGAAGTGTATGAATGCCCTATGCTGCTACATGTAGCTTATTTATTGTTATGTGTTACGGAATAAATAGTCAATAATATAAAAAAAAAAAAAATCCTCGGCGAAATGTGAGCATGTCAAATGTCACGTTTACAACAGTGGTAAGTTGGTAACTCTAAACTCTCACTCGCTTAATACCTCTGATCACCCAATAGGAATTATATTTGTGAGTATATTTAATTTACTTTAGTAAATTTTATATATTGTACATACCGTGGAATCTGTCGTTTTTCCCAGTCTTGTATAACAAGATTGACATCGATTTTAATAGTCGTTTTGGTAATGGCAACTATGTTCTTTGGTCCAATGCAGAGTATAGTGTGATCCAAGGTGCTTTCTTCCGTTCCTGTGGATTTATTAAAATTAATATTGATACATATATGTATAGTTATATAATTATGTACGATATTTATAATATAACTAATTGACAAAAGAGGTTGACAAATCAGCTGGTCGTAAAACTAAAAGTGAAAACCTTGGGTAATATGGATAAAAACATACAACAACAAAACCAAAATAATTGGGACATGGACAGAAACACGATGATTTGTAGTGTTACTAATCCCTCACATAAAAAAAAAATATTCATATCAGATTACATATAATAGTAATAAACAATAATTCAAACAAAACTGAGTGAAAAGATTGTAGGTTGTATTTCTTGTTTTTTTTTCATCAATTGCTTATTTTAAATTTTAAATTTATCTATTCATAATTTACTAGCGACTCGCCCCGGCTTCGCACGGGAAACAATGTGGTATAAGTGTGGAGTGATTAATAATATTACTATTGATACAGTAGTAATATTATAATAGTCTTAATAGCTTGACAACTCCACATAATTTGTATAATTTTTTTAAACATTAAGATGGCTATAGAGACACCGCTGACTTTTTTGTAGTTCTAATAAAGAGGAACAATTCCATGATATATTATTTTGATATATTTCAGCATTTTCGATGAGAGTTCTCAGTTGACTTGATTTCTTCCGATATCGTGAACAATTACCGACATATTTCAACAAATGACCACAGTACAATATTAAACTATATGTATAAAACTTCACTTTAAATCACTTTACCTACTGATGAAAAACGCATTAAAATCTGTTGTGTAATTTACACTATGTACAGATGGGAGGCTCGATACTTTTTTTAAAATAAGAACAAATGTTTGTATTGTGCCAGGACCGAAGAGCATATTAAACTGCTGTCCATCAAGCAATAAAATAAATGCAGATAAATATAGGTTCTTACCAATGCCGTCATACATAGTTGAGAAGCCGAGTATTCTGAACCAGTTTTCGTCGATGTCGAAGTTATATCTATTGGTGTCTTGTTCAGCTGTGTTTAGCACCAATACCTTGTATGGGGTCTGGCGAGGACCTACGTATTCAAATAAAAAAGTTTATGTAGAATAAAGTATTTATTATAACATTATAGTTCTCAAGAATGGCAATGCATAAAGTGTGTTAGGGGCGTAAGCTGTGGTGTTTATGGGGCTCTTCATGTCTATAGGTGACTATTATACTTATTATATTTATATTTTTATCATTCTATCACAAAAAGAAAAGAAAACTAATATATATATATATATATATATATATATATATATATATATATATATATATATATTAGTTTTCTTTTCTTTTTTGTGATAGAATGATAAAAATTATGTTTGATATCGGAATAACGTAATGTTAAACTTACCGTTATTATTTAAATAAACGCCCAACTGATTAATGTATGGTCCAGCGGATATAATGAATATCTTGCCCGGTACTATTTCTTTAGCCACCTTGGACTGACTCAACAATACAGGCATGATATTATTCAAAATATCGATATACGTGGACGCGTTGTCGTAGAAGGTAGCAAGGGGCGCGAGGTGGGATGCGAGCGGTGTACTGCACTTCTCAGAATATTCCTTTTCGGCTAGCAGCAATTGCTTTTTGTAGTTGTCTGACTGGACTATTTGGTTGATCTCGCGGAACGATCGCTGCATCATGCCTTCTACTGATACTGTAGCTACTCTGAAATATAGATAATATAATAATTTTCTTAATGGATGTAAAATAATAGAATATTAATCCCGCTTGCTTCATTGATTTATTCCGTCCGGGTATCAGAGAGGGATGATAGGTGACTGAAGTCAGGTTAGTTGGCGCATCATAAGAAATTTACTACGAATGTTCTCTAATGGGTGTCGTGGAGGTAAACCTGCTAGATTGGATACAATACTTGAGCTTAAACACAGACTGTTGCAAATATTTTTCATAGTCAAAGTACACTACAGTCTAAACTAATTGAAGTGAAATGAATCTTACTTCTTTACTAGAAATAAAGTTGATTCTTTTCGCGCAATTGTATAAAATAATGAATACGTTTCCCAATTGTCTATGTTCCTTGACATCTCATATACAATGTTGTTGTGACTATCATTATTTAAATTAATTATGTATTTTGTATTTAAAAATGGATATTATTGTTATTCAATCACTTACCGCAGTAAACTGAGTATCATTGCATATGTAAGCCTGAATTGTGAGGTGAGCTTCTCTGGGATGCCCATCATCATGCCTTTTAGAGTCATCAGATCTGGCACGCCGTCCTTACAAAGTATTATCACAGTACCCGTATCATCCAGACCTAGGATATATTTAGTTACCCATTAATATCAAGTCAAATTTTTTTTACAATTCAGAATGGCAAACAAGCTGACGGCCCACCTGATGGAAAGTGGTAACCGTCGCCTATAGACATGAGCAGTACTATGGACATAACGGAGTATACTGTTTCGCCCATGATACCTCCCATGCGTTGCCATTCCTGAGGACTCAGGTGTTATTCCTCTATACACTGTAAACTCACGCCATATCCCACCCTTCCAACCGAAACACAGCCATGCGAACACAACTGCTTTAAGGTTGAAACACACACAAAGTCTCTCTCCGATAATTACAACGAAAAATGAAGAAGAGTTTGCACGTGAACCCATAAAATCAGAGAGATAATCAATAAAGATAATTAGATAATAAAGATAATCAAAAGAGATAATTCAAAGAGACCATTTATTTTTTCTCTGATAAAATAAGAGTGGTCAGAAGTGTTTATCTTGCTTGTGCTTCTGTCGAAGTCAATCACTATATCTCTGTTGTTCAGTGTTACAAAATTGATTTTGTGCACTTATAGTTCTGCAAATTAGGCCAATATCCAATTGACCAAATCTTAAAATGTATCGTATTTTTTCCTCTGTTTTAATTCAAGATAATCTTTATTTTTATACACACAGTAAACAAGATAATTCATGGAGGTTTACAGTCTGAAGGCGAGACAATTCGCTATAGTTTAATTATTAAGATTTGTAGAAAAGTTTAGAAGCTATAGTTTGAAGTATTTAAACTTAATTCATATTGACAAGCATTAAGTCAAGGTTATGGAATAAATTCGTTCCACTCGTTTTTAGATTTATTTGTACGAATTTGAACGTTAGTCAATAGAGATAAGATTCAATATACTAATAAAATGTGGGTATATATCACGACACTTCGCTTCGATTCCGCGCTAGTGTGAATTGATTCTTAGAATTCTGTAGACGTACCTCTACGGCCCGCTCGTCCCGCCATCTGTATGTACTCGGCGGGCAGTAGTGTCCGCCGCTGCAGTCCGTCAAACTTGGTCGTTTCGTCGAACACCACGGTACGGGCTGGCATATTTACGCCCATCGCGAACGTCTCTGTCGCGAATAGTATTTTCACCTGGCGAAAATTTTTGTTATGAATGTCTTTTTTTTAATAATTCAAAAACGGCGAACAAGCTGACGCCATACTTAATTGAAAGTAGTAACCAATAAACAATAAATATATTATATTAGCGACTCGGTCTGGCTTCGCACGGGCATATACAATTTTCCAAAATAATATATAGCCCATGCGACTCGTTTATAATGAAGTTTACGATAGATAATTTTTTTAATCAGTTAAGTAGCTTTTCAATTTATTCATTTCAAACAATCAATTTTTCTTTCTTTATAATATTATTAGTCTTTGTATAGATACGTTTATCAAGCATAATTTACTCACATAACCAGATTGGAACAACATCTCAACAATTTCCTTTAACAAAGGCAGAATACCACTGTGATGTACCCCAATACCATTTTCGAGTACATTTTGCAATCTCTTAACCTGGAAAGGATAAGAATTATAATTAGAAGGCAAATAAAGCTGAATCTGGTTTAACTGGCGTATTAAAAATAAATATAAATGACAACACAAGGAAAAAAATGTACCTGAGGTAGTTCTCTGTCAGGTTCTTTTAGTCTTTGTAAACACTTCAAAAAGAATGAACGGATGTGGCCCTTTTCTTTAGCCGTTGTCAAATCCACTGACATTAAATTTTCAGCATTCTGGTCGCACCTGACAAGTGTTAAAACAATTGTAACAAAATATTAAGTTCAATATATATATTACTGTTAATGAATCTCACGATTGATCACGATCTCACCTGATAGGAAAGCGATGATGTGGTTTAAGAAGCAGCCTATTCACATTTAAATTGGTATACACTAATAGAAAAAATTAAGGGATCAATAAAATAAAATTTTTAGATGATTTTCAATAGGCTGTAACTTGGAGAAAAATTATCGTAGAGACAGTTAAAAAAAAAAGCAAATTGTAGCTCTAAGTGTCTAGTTTTTGGGTCTAAACTCGAAAAAATGTTCATTTAAATTTTTTTCAGGTAATTTAACACAATGATGGCTCTATTCCCCACACACACGCGTGGTCTCAAAAGCAACGGGAACAAAGATATACGTTGAGTCGAGAATATCGTATTTTGAATGATTTTTTGTTTTAATAATATCTTTTTTTTCATAGCAAAATAAACTTTTTTTTTATAATACAGGGGCGGCAATGAGCATGAAGCTCACTTGATGGTAAGTGACTACAGCCGCCCATAAGCACCCACAACACCAGAGGCATTGCAGGTGTGTTGCCAGTCTATGTATATACTTTATATTTTTTCAATTCTATATTTCTCAGTTTGTCCAATGATTGACTGATAGAGAACATAGTCCGGTATTAAGTCCGCCAAATGTGCATAGAATTTTACGGTGCATTAAAGTTTCAATAAATATATTTATATATTTCCTTTGAAAAAAATCTGAGTTACAATTTATGTACATATACAATACAACAAAAAATTACATTAATGTACTTGAGCGAATATGCATACTAGTTTAAATAATGAAAAGAAAATTAGTTTAGTGCATTGGTACAAAAATAACTTTTAACTACAGCACAAATTATAAGTAGTTTTGAAGGGGCACTTAGTTTGGAACTGATCGATTGAACGAAATTGGCACCGGCAACTCTTAGTTGTCGCCGTGTCGATCCTGCCATAAAATGGGCTATCCCTTCCTTTCTCGTGGGTATCGTAAGGGATTTTATGTTAAAGGATGGGCAGCAATGTTCCTCTTAAAACATCTGTAATAGCCTTACTGCGGTTGTCAACCCACCTACTAAGCGTGACAACTGTCAAAACTCCTCTTATGGGGAAGGTTTATGTTCAGCAATTAGGACAATTAAGGGCTGAAATAATAACAAAAATTCTTAGTTGAGTTGAACCTTCTACTTTACCTATTTCTAGAAAGTGTGAATGCCACTACAGGAAGTTTGTCTTTCTGCCTTAAATGATCTATAAATGCTATCCACATCGTTTGGTCTGCTTTCGGATTGGAATACTGCTTACCACCTGTAAAAAAAAAAATAGGAATTTTTTAAAGCTTGTATAGACAAACAATCCTTTCAAGGTGTATTCTTATTGCAGTTTTTTACTAATCGCGAATAGTTATTATGGAAATATTATTAAAACATGAAAATAATATTCACTAAGTCTGACTAAGCGCCATCTATCGGTACTGTAGAATAACCACCGGCTTATGTATAGTCTTCGATTTCGAACATCATTGTGCATTAATAACATGAAGAGGTTGAAAATTTTGCCACCTGATAGTTTTTCTTCCATGGTAACTAGGAACGCACTCGACCTGGAGAGATGCAAGTACAGTTTCACTCAAAAAGTCACAAGATTTCTTTTCAGTTTCAAAATATTGAATCTAAATTAAACCTAATATAATTTTTTAGATATAAATTTAATATTCATTATAAATCTACCTTTGGGACCAAAGCTCTTTTTGTTATCGCTTTCTCTAGCTTTCTTAGCCGCAACAGCTTCATTGTATCCACGCAATTGGAATTGGCCCTCGTGATCCAATACAAGGAACCTCTCGTTCTTCGTTTTGCCATTTGTACCTAAAACAGAAGAATGTTTTAAATTTAGTTTTTAAAATTAGAATTAGTATAGCAGTGAACTACCAAGGTGAATGGTAATGGTGAAACAGAAACGTTATTAGAAATCAAAATTTCACAAACTCGTTATTTATTTTTCGTTCTATGGACCATCATCTCCACAGCCACAGACAGAGAGATGCGTTATCGCTTCCTGCTTGCGGGTGTTACATGTTTTTTTTTAACATTATATTAGTTTTCTTAAATATCTTGTGTCAAAATGTGTACCTACATTTATTAATAAAAATCAGACTGACTACTTTATGTGAAATGTGAAAAGGACTCCATTTTCCGCGCTTAGCCTCTCATTTGGGCCATTGTGCGTAGACTGACTACTTTAAAAATAATATAATATTAAAATTGTTATTATACCAAATTTTGCATTAAAATATTCTTCTAGTGTATACCAAGTGGTCATTATATAAAATATATCAAAATATTGTTGAAGGAAGTACTAAAGAAGCTATAGTTAAATAAGTGTGAATTATAATAATGGTTAAATATTATATACTAGGTAAATATGTTTTATTAGTATGACTTCTAAAATAAATGAACTGTGAGTACTTGTGTTTCATTTTTCTATATTACTAAGAGGCTTACGATCTTTATATTGCTAAAGAATAGATCATATGCAAGTAAAGTTAAGATTACGTAATTAAATTACTTTGTAAACCAATTACCCTACATAATATATTATAGGCAATAATACAGTTTTTGCTCTTACATGCATGAGATAACTCTTGCGTGTTTCTGAGAAAAATACCATGTCTTATTTACATGAGAAACATCCAATAAAACGTATTTATCAATAGATGTGTTTGCTACTTTTTTAGGTGGGTAGGATATTATATTTTTTTCTTTTCCTTGACTTCACCTTGCAATTAATCTTTCTGATTATGAGTTGTTATGATAAAGTGTCATTTCTCTATACCCTGTAAATTTACTGCCATGTCCTACCCTTCAAATGAAACATAGCCATGCAAACACAACTGTTTCATAGTAGAAACACGAATGGGACAGAGGTACTCAAACAAACGACTTTTGTACAAAGTCGCTCTCTGATAAACAGATGACTATAAAAAATAACCTGTGTACAAATAATGGCAGAGCGGCACAGGTCGTTTGGGTGTGGAGACGACATACACTTTCCGTTTCTTGGTGCGGCCGACCCAGTCAGCGAACTGTAACGTGTTGGGCACAGTGGCGCTCAGCATCACGATGCTAACGTGCGCCGGCAGTAAGATCAACACTTCCTCCCATACGTAGCCTCGCTGAAAAGTCAAATGTTAGGCGCTCAAGTTCTATTAAAAGAAAGATATTCCATTTGGAGTCCAGTCATTATAGAGTACTTCGAAAATTTGGGAATTATATGAGGATTAACGGAAAAGTACAATGAAGAAAATGAACAAATGAAAAAAAAATAATGTAAATATGTAAATCATTGCATGAACTGTAAAACAAGAAACTGCCATTCCAAATATTATTATTCTTTTATTTCTTTTTTGTGTATGTATCTATAGCTGTTGTAATGTGTGTGCAGTAAGTAATGCAAATAAATAATATATCTATCTATCTATTAACATGCAGAATTTTAATAATTTACAAAAAAAGGTGCTAAGGTGAAATAATCTTTAATAACATAATTAACTACAGTCTCAACTTAAAAAAGATAATTATGGATTCCTGCATCCTTCCAAGCCTAACATATGCATGCCAAACATGGACCTATACAGAAAAAATAAAGAACAAAATCCTATCATGTCAGCATGCGATGGAAAGAAGTATCTTAAAGTTAAGAAAAATACAGAAAATAAGAAACACTGATATTAGGAAGAAAACCAAAATAAAAGATGCTCTTCAGCATAGTATGAAACAGAAGTGGAGATGGGCAGGTCATATAGTGAGGTACAAAGATAAAAGGTGGACTCTCCAAACAACAAAATGGCGAGGTCCAGCAGGAAAAAGAAATGTTGGAAGACAAAGAAAGAGATGGGAAGATGACATAATAAAGATAGCAGGAAAGAACTGGACGGGTATTGCTATAGACAAGGAGAAGTGGAAAAAGATGGAGGAGGCTTTTACCCTTGGGGACCACGGAAGTGGATAAAAAAGCTATAATAATAATAATAAAACATAATTAAAAAAAAAACTTACACTATGTTGTTAAAAAATAGAAAGTATTCCTTTGTACCTTTTTGACACAAAACCCTAATAACGAGATATTCAATATCTGAATAGGAAGTAGATTATTATTTTTTTATGTAGGGTACAACGACTGAGACCGGCTTCATTCATTTTTGGAACATGGCTTTTGGTACGCATATGGGCCATATTTTACATCAAAATAAAAGTAAAAAAAAATTTACAATAAAATAAAAGTTATTTTTGAGCCTAATTCACACAGGAAAAGTCACGAGATAAAGTTATTGACTCTCTAATTATTAATTACTTTTGTATTGTTTTGTGGTATAATTAATAATTCCATAACAATTACCTCTGTATTGTTGATGTAATGAACTTCATCAAATATAACAAACTCAAGGTCCCTGGTGACATCAGAACCGCAGTACAACATCGAGCGCAAGATTTCCGTGGTCATGACGAGGCAAGACGCCGTCGCATTGATTTGCAAGTCTCCTGTCAGCAAGCCGACTTCACCAAACAGTTTGTTGAAGTCATTGTATTTCTGGTTAGAGAGTGCTTTGATAGGAGATGTGTAGATTGCTCTAAAAAATATTATTAATATAATGAATAATTCAGTAATTTATTACATAGTAATAAAAAAAAAATCATTTGCCAAAAGCTAAAATGGAACCAACACAGAATTATCCGTGTTGATTGCAAAAAGAATCATTACATATGGCTCAAAATTATGACCAACCATTGAAAGTAGAACATCAATACTATTAGCATTGATGGAGCATATTTATTTATTTCATTATCTGAGTGATATTTACAATCTTTGGGAGATTGTAAATATCACACACACACCCAGAAGATATTATTCTTGTTCAAGATGGTATACTCATATGTCGCGCTAATATAAAAAAAAAATGGCGAAAATATAGAAGAAGTGTTACATACAAAAAATTGCGTGAAACTGAGAATTTTTCCTTTTTGATTTTAGCAATTTTCCATTTTTACATATTATGTGAGACAGATTAATGAAACTATTGTAACTACGTCATCTGGGATTACAATTGTGAGCATATTCTGATAAAGGTACATACCTAGTGCAATTTCGTCTTGACATTGCTATAGCATATTCTGCAACAACAGTTTTTCCGGCAGAGGTGTGTGCCGCCACGAACACATGGTGTCCTTCTTCCAATTTCAAAATAGCCTGGAAGTAACAGATATAAAAAATAATTTGAAAAGTAATAATAATATTTTAGAAATAACTACACAGATACACATCAATGGTATCTTACTAATATAATAAAATTGTAACTAGATGATGTCTGTACATCGAAGATATTTAAAAAAATTAACTAAACAAAAACAATAATTTTTAGAAATTATGTCTGTGGCAAACAAGAATATGGATCATCAGTTGATGAACAGGGTTACCATATGAACACTTGTAACACCAGCAATGTCACATATGCATTGTAAATTTTGACGTTGCCCTTAAGAAATATTAATACGCCTTTTTGAAAAACTCCATGTATGTTTGTTTTCTTAGCTGTATTCCTAAAGGTCTAACTTAAAATGTGGTGTATGTTTCATCTATTTAATTGGTTTTCCTTAATTCTGAAATCATTGCATATGAAATAGTGGACAAAAAACTAGTTAATGATACTGTCATCTGTGTTTGTGGCAGTAAAGAATGAGTATTAATATAAGGAGAAGAAATATTATCATTAAGTTACCTGTTTTTGAAAATTATCCAATTCAAATGGATATGAGTGGGCCATGTCTTTTATATTCTCAGTAAACTCTGGAACTGGCAGAGATACATCTATCATCTCAGCCCATTCAGTAGATGTGACTCCTGCCTTCAAAGTGTTGCTTGTGATATTCAGAACTGGTATTTCTGGTAATTCTACTGGTGGTTTTATCACAGTACTCTCAAGGAAATTATCATCATCGGTCTGCACAGTTTCTGTTTTAATTTTATTTACTGGTTTTTGCTGTTTTACTTGTGGTTCATCATCATCTTTCCAGAAATCTGAAATTATTCAATATGTACATACTTTTAAATAAAATATTTATGCTAGCCCTCTTTCAACATGTTATATAGATCTATACTAGATAAAAAAATATTTTATTTTCTCAAAATGCCAAATATTAAGGAGTCTGAATCACAAGTATTTAATCACAAGCTTCTGTGACAATTAATTATTAAAATATATATTTATTTATATTATCACACATACCTACTAAATGTGCATTACTATCCACAACTTCTTCCAAATTAATTTCATTTTGTATATCTATATTTTTTGGTGTTTCAGTTTTTTCAGCTACTTCATTATTGGGTTGGTTCAGAACTGTGACTCCATCTTCACCAAATAAAACACCTTCCTTGCTGCCTGGTGGTGTAGTTAATAGATCTGAAAAAAGAAAAGTACAAATTGAAGTTATCTTATTTCCTGTGAAACTTTTTGAGAATTATAACATTTCTAACCTCAATGATTTGGGAGGAAAGGGATTGTAGTAAAGAGGATTAGCAGCCACATTGCTATATTTAAACCTTGTTAGGTCAATTTCTATGTGGTTCCTTCTGGAAAGCATTGTAGTTAATTCTAATCAAATTCGTCATGATGATCTAACAGACCTGTTTTGATCCTTGCTTGTTTCTATCCCTCATTGGGGCCTTGCTAGCATATATTGATAGGCAGGTGGGTTACCATTCCGTTATTATCAATTAAAAAACCTCAATTGTTTGAATGTTTTTCTCATTGTTTTTAATTATTTGATCAACAAAAAAGTTTTGTATAAATTGCCATATTTCATGTTGAGTGTAGATTTTTATCAAAATTTCAAAAGTCAAATTTTTCTAAAAGTTAAATACAGATACCCCTAAGGCTTCAATTACTTTCTTGCCTAAAAAATGAATATATAAATAGAAGAAATAAATAATTTGTAAATAACCAGTTGAATTGGTATATGTTCTTTTGTTCCCCAAAGTCACCTACTGATTGAATTTTTAAATGAAACTTAAGAAGGAGCAACTATCTTGTTTTTTTTTAATGGATGATAATGGAATGGTAACCCCGCCTGCATTATCGGTATACACTAGTGGGGTACCAGTGAGGGATAATAGGTGTGGATGCACCAGGTCAGTTATCCCACAACCACAAATCTAACAATAAACCAATCACTATGGTTTTCTTGGGGAACCACAAGGAAGTCGATCTGACAGGGTATATTGCTAGCAATGGGGCCACTAATCCCCATTACTAATAATCCTTTCTCCCCCACAACTATCTAGTATCAAAAGTAATAAATACCTTCCCCTAAAAATTTTCCTTGTTCATCATTATTCAAATCAATGTTAATATCAACAAACTGGGCTTCATCCAGGATTTTTTGAAGTTCCTCCTCAAATCCAGCTGGTAGAAATGGGCTCTGAGTAGTTGTACCTCTTGTAGCAAGGCTTGGGGGCAATGGTGCCCGGGACATAGATAAGGATTTCTCATCATCTTCAATTGGTATACTTATTTCTTCTAAACCAATAATTTCACCTGTTAATGGGTCTCTAACCACCTGAAATGTTATTTAAATTATTTGTATTTTTTTTAAAAAACCACACTAAATTCTGATTGTGATACTTAGATTATTTGCAATACAAATTGAATGTATATAGATTCAAAAAATGAAGTGGTCATTTTAAATAAACAGAAATGGTGACCACTTACCATCAGGTGGGATGTATGTTTGTTTGCCATCTCAGAAGTATAAAAAAAAATTATATGATTTATATGATAATAAACCAATTATAATGTTTGTGAATTTACTATAGATTTTTCTATTTATTGATTTGACTAGTTTTATGAAATGGTTATAGAGAAAACATGTGTTTTTAATTAAAATCTAATGATTACAGTTAATTTCCATAGAGTAGTAATAGATGTGTTGCTTCTCTATAGGTGATCAGGGGTGTCTAGATGTTAATTGGCTGATTCCTCATAACACAGGGCAACCAAGTTTGAAGACTAGGCAATTGTGATTGTGTGGTACATATTAATAATAAATAAAATAACTCATTATTATTAAAAAAAATATTTCATATGGTTGAGTACATAGTAGGGTTTAAGTATTAGCTTAGTTATAAATTAAAGAATGCAAAAAAAAATATCAGCTGCATGATTTATTCAGCATACTAATGTAGCTACATGTGATATTGCTATTTTTTTTAATTTTCTTATAACTACTTAGTATTATGGTCTATATGCATTTAGGGCGAAATAAAAACAATTTTTTGTAACAAACAACGAACCTCTAGAGTCGAGTCTGGACCAAAATCTTCATCGTCAGTTTTAATTAGAGAATCTATATCAGTCTTCCGATGCCAGTGAGTTTGGGATCGCTCCCATTTATGTATAGAGAGCCTTTCCGGTTTTAAAATATATTCTTTTACTCGTTCGTTTAAATCTTCGAATATTGGTGGTAACTAAAACATATTGAGCGAAATATAATTTAATAGAAAAACACTTGGAATAAAAGACTTAGACTTCATGATTAATTACAACATACTTTAAAGTCCGTAAATTCGTCTTCAGTATTTATAGGCATTTTAATTGTAGAAAGAGAACATTAAATTTTGATTTAAACGCCTTACAGGTTATTTTAGATAAATAGATTCATAAAACTGTTTCACTTCGGACTTTTGGATTATTTATATTTGGGAATCACCGACTACTGATAATTGACTGACTGATTGACAGTTTTGGCATAGAGACTTATAATACAAAGTCATAAACTGTATGCCAGATTAATTGAACCACAGATATAATATTAAAGTAGACCAACACGAGGGACTAAAAAGCTCACCAAAACTCATCATATGTCTAGAGATGGGCAATCCACCTGGGTGGGTTTAAAGTCTGGTGGGTAAAAACCGGGTGTTTTGGGTTTATTGGGTTTAAACCCCATAAACACCCAAATTTTTGGGTGTTTATGATTTTGTACTTCATCATCGTCATCTCAGCCGCAAGACGTCCACTATACTGGACATAGACAATATTATTATGCAGCCTACAGAATAAAAAACTTTTAATTTGATTTTGAGTTTATTAAGAAAGAGATGAAAGTAAAATGTAAAACTACAGTCAATCACTGTCAGATTCAGAGTTATTACAAGCGATGAATTGTATAGGTTCGATAGGCTCTATTTCGTCTAAACTGTTATGTTCATTTACTTGCTCAATGAAAGCTTCTAAGGTATTTTCTTCATTAAACTGAATGTCCTCGCATTCAGCTTTATGTTTAAGATTCCAGTTATAACAAATGAATGAAATTTTTTCAGTTCTTTCAGTTGTAAGTCGATTTCTTTTGTTATTATGTATGTAGCCTTGGATACTAAAGGAACGCTCAGTGGCTGCCGAAGTACAGGGAGCTGATAGAATACGAATCGCTACTTTGCTTAACTCAGTGGAACCACAAATACCTTTCCACCATATTAGGGGCTCAATGCTATCTAATGAGCTCCATACAAATCCTCTGGCCCAAAAGTTTTCTTTAGCTTTATAACACGCCAAATCTGCCATTACATTTGACAAACTTAAGTGTTGGCTTAAATTGTAGATAAACTCCATACCCTTAAGTTCTTCCTCTTGAGTAAGTTCGACTCCTAGAGTCCTGGGGTCTAGAATATATGCTGCAAAATGTATTGGCCTCATTGCCATATTGCATCTTGAAGATACTGATGTTAGAATCTGCTGTTTGCTTTCTTCGCTCAATGTCGAAATCTCATTTAATGCAAAACGTATCTTAGCTTGTACATCTCTAAATGTAATGTATGTGCGATGCAAACGATTCTGGTCGCTCTCTAAGTAAAATATGCTTTCAGTGACTGGTTCCAAAATACTTATACATTCCCCTGTCTTCGTCCAGAAATCATCACTTAGAATTAAATCTTTAATATCTCTTGAAATTACCACATCTTCTCTAACTGTTAATATTTGCAAAGCTATCTTATTTGCTTTCAAACTTTTTAACGAAGTAACATGACTTCCCCATCTTGTAGCACAAGGCAATTTTAGTGTTTGTGTAGAATCTTCACCCTGCCTTGATTTTATCAACAAGGAACTTAATCGTTGACTCCTTTTAACAGTTTTTATTATATTTATGGCTTGCATAATAAACACAGTTACTTCTTGTATCTTTACAATATCTTGGCACAACAAGTTAAGGATATGTGCACAGCAACCGAGAGGAACAACATGTGGATATTTGAGTTTTGTTAATTCGAATGCCTTTTGTATATTTCTAGCGTTATCGCCAATAAGTACAAGAAACTTATTTGCTCCATACACTTTCATTACTTTTTCAACTTCTTGGCTAAGGTATTCACTAGTGTGAGGATTACTTTCTGTATTCAAACTTTTAACGTATGCAGGTTGAGGTTTTGATATAAGAAAGTTTATTATTCCTTCATTTCTTAAATTAGACCAGCCATCGCACTGAAGGTGTAAGTAACTACAAGCATTTAGTTCCTCATTTAACTCAAAACGCATTTCTCTATATATTTTATCTAAGTATTTTGTCGCTAAAGCTTTACGTGAAGGTATTTTAAATTTTGGTTGCAATTTTTCGAAAAATTGTATCCATAAAGGATGTTGCACCATCGATAATGGCGTCCCTGTTACAAATATAGCTCTCGCTAATTCTGTTTTTATATGATCATCGGTGTCTTGAAACTCAGCATTTATTGTAGTGTTAGCAGACGACGAGGGGCTTATAAAAGAATCATTTGTCTCTATCTCTGACAGTCCAGACATTTTGGTTTTGGACGAGCTATCTTTTATAAGTTTCATAGAGTCTTTTAATGTTTCTGGAGATTTTGGACAAGTGATAAGATGTTGAAGCATTTTGGCAGCATTACTGAATTTGTAGACCTTATTACAAAGCTTGCAAGAAACAGACTTGTTTGGTAAAGTACGGTAGTGCTCCCATATGCGTAAATCTTTAGGTCTCCCCATTGAACCTAAAAAAATGAACGATGATTAGTTGGTCTGACGAAAATTCAACAATAGAGTGCCTATTTTTTTACAATGATTATTTCTTGTTATTTACAATAAATTTATTAAAAAAATAATAAAATAAATACAAAAAGCCTTTGTAAAATTACATCTCCTCGGAGGATTAAACGCAGACGCTAGTTTATTATCGTATTGTTCTGTATTTTTCTCAGCAACTTCTTTAATTCGATTAGGTACTTACGCATATTATGTTAAAAATAAATATCTAGTACACATCTTAGGCTATCCACCATTATTATCCAATGACGACTCTCAGCTAACTATGCACTATCATCCAAAATAAACGTGTATGGAAAATTTTATCCCAGTCGGTTGAGGATTGAGGATAATTGCATCAACATACGAACATACCTACATACTTTTATTTACATAACGCAAGCTAAATAAAAGCTTGTAATAATACATCTAATTTTAAGTTAAAATTGTTAAGTGATCATGATATAATTGTATCATTCAAAAATCCACTTACCTTTAATTATTTCTTGTTAAGTATAAATATTATTTCAAATCTGCTCCCTTAATATGCACTTTTTTACTGCTTTTCCTACCTAACACGTTACCAGGAAGTCACGTTACCAGAGTCAGAGTAATAGTGAACACGTTTGACAGTGATTGTCGTCGCCTCATATTCAGCGTCGACGAATAGGGGAATCCCCAGTCATAATGTATTGCATGCGTGGCGGTCTTACTTCAAATCCATAAACAAAGAGATAATTACAGAACTCGATACTAGATGGCGCTGTTTTTGTTTGAAGAAAGTTTGCGGGCTAAAATACATAGAATTTCATCAATGACTTCCACAAAGAACAACATTTCTGTTTTTTCTAAGTCCGTATCTCTTCCGTATATTTCATAAGATATAAGCTTGGGCTACATTGTTATGCAACGTGATTTTGTCGCTGTCTTGCTAGCAGGGTTGACAGATATACGATTTAAATCGTACTCATACTATTATTTCTCTATTTTTTAATGTACGATCGTAAAGATTATGATCGTAATTCGCACAAAAACATACGACTTTTTGGTTACCTGGCAACATTTTTATTATGAAACGAACATGCTCACATCATCAGTCACATGCAACAATTTATTGGGGATTTCCCCTTCACATCTGGCAGTCCTGCTTGCTAGAATATAGGTAAGTCAGCCACAGTTACTGACGATCGATATTTAAAGGGTATTGTTTTTGTGCTAAATATTTCATAAAAACGTTATTTAATACTTTGTGGATTATTAATTTAGTTGATAATCACTGGAAGTAAAATGGATGCTAATTTGAGAGATCAAGATCTTCGTATAAAACAGTTAATAAAAGAAAATCTACGTAAGTACTCTTTTTATACCTAGGTAGGTAAGGTATAATAAACACAAAAGGTACTTAGATCGCGTGTGTTCGAAGCATTTATTCTAATAAATTTAATTTAAAATTGTAGAAAGAAAAAATGTCTGCCAAGCCGTAGCCGAAGCCGATCTCCAAATATATTTGGCGATAGTGAGACCCAGTGTCCAGATGATTTACCCAGCGTCGTCGCAACAAAGAAAAAAACGAGGATAAAGTAAAAGAAAATTTACTGAAAGAAGAAACAAACTGTTCTAAATGCTTAATTTATGGAGAAGAGGATAAAAGAAATGAGTATTTCGGACTGTTAGTGGCTCAAGAATTTAAATATATACGGCCATGTGTGCGAACGAGGTGTTATGAAGAAATTTTAAAGTATCTACGGGAAGCAAAAGGCCAACATGTTGATCAACTGCAACATGAAAACACTGAAAATTAATTACTTTCATTTTATTATATATAGATTTTTAAAATTTCCTGAAATATTATTAGTTAACGTTTTATTTAATATTGTAGAATTGATCAATACAATTTATAAAAATAATTTATTGGTATTACTTACATATTTTCAAAAAAATACGTAAAAACCTATTTTTTTGGGTGATTATGGGAGTTTATGGGTGTTTATTGGGTTTTTACCAAAGCACCGGGTTTAAACCCGGTGCTTTGCCCATCTGTACATATGTCTATAAAGTAAAAGTAGGCAATATTTTTTACTTTATTTTCAACTTGTTTAAGTAACTTTATTTGCAACAAAGATTTTTTAATAAATTGCCAACACAAGGTTTCATTTATTGTAAAAATAGTTGATCTGTGTTAATAATCAAGAACATGTTTTGTATTTAGTTCCGTAAGAATTGACTTCAATAGTTCAAGGGACCAAAAAGACGATAAATTATATTGGTTGTAAAGGGAATCATCTAAATCGGCGCGGAATAGAAAGAGTTTTATTAATATACATATATCAAATATTTTGTTCGTCTTCACTTTTACCCAATCCCAAACTTGTATAAATTTTCACTACATTTTGTCATATAATCACAGAGCGAATGATAAAAAAAGCCCTTTCTATTTTTTTACTTCTCTTACCCTCTGTTTTGCTACCTTTATTGGTACATTATTTATTACATATACATAGCGATACCGTTTACAAATGACAAAAGTATCAAACAAAATTATCCAAACCATTCCATTTTTTCTCATACATTTCTTCAAGCATTTCATTATTCGAAAATTCCGCAAACATAAAATTTTTTGCCCAGAATTCCAAAAAATACCCAATCTGACAACGCTGCCTGTTCTTCCGGCGAAGTTGTTAAATTTCATGAATAGGCACTATCACTGGGTTTCGACTTGGTACTATACTTATCGATTACTACAGTTTTGTATTATGTACAGCATCATCATCAATTAGCTATAAACTGTCTGCTGTTGAACATAGGCTTCCCCTATAGGACGGATTTGCCAATAGTTGCCACGTGTGCCAGACAGGTTGACAACCGTAATTAGACTATGGTGATGTTTTAAGTCGAACGCTGTTGCCCATCCCTAGACCGTTAAATTTTCTCAGCCGCTTCTTATGATACCCATGAGAAAGGAAGAGGTGGCCCATTCTATGTCGAGTGCAAACGGCAATAAATTATATGCATTAATGTTTGATTAAATTTACTATATAATTTTTCGTAGGGATCAATGAGGCCCCGTATCATATATTTTTCAAAACTATTAAGCCGCTTATTAGATATTTAGTGTATTTAGTAACAGTATTGGCTCAAATGGGTTGAAATGGCCACTCATGTCCATTTGGTGGAACTTTTTACATCGTTGTAAAAACGCAATAGTATAGAAGACCTATATTTAAAAATATGAGACTGCACAAAAGTTGTCTCAATGTGTCTTTTATCGCAATTGTGTTTCTGCTGCGAAGCAGCAGACCAGAGGGAGACTTTGTACAAAAGTCGTTTGATCGGGTACCTATGTCCCATTTGTGTTTCTACCGTGAAGTTGCTGTGTTTGCATAGCTGTGTTTCGGTTTGAAGGGTGGGATATGGCATTAAATTAATAGGGTACAAAGGAATAACGCTTGAGTCCTCAGGAATGGCAACGCATGAGGGGTATCATGGGCGAAACAGTATACTCTGTTATGTCCATGGTACTGCTCATGTCTATAGGCGACGGTTACCACTTTCCATCAGGTGAGCCGTCAGCTTGTTTGCCATTCTAAGGTGCATAAAAAAAACAGTCTCCTTTTTTTGACAGTGTTGTAGTTTAAAGGGAGGGATATGGCGATGAAAATACAGGGTACGAAACATAACATCGTAGTCCTCAGGAATGACAACGCATAATGGCTACATGGACATCACAGTGTAGGTATGTATGTATATGTGAAGTCCATGTTTTGCTGTTTATATCAATAGATGATGGTTATTTTCATTTCTTTTCATTAGGGATGTAAATATGCTTATTTAAAATTTAATTGAAAAAAAATTCTGGTATTGTAATAAAGTAAGTTATTCAAAATACCTATAAACAGGCCAATAAATACTTGGGGTTTTGTTTTTTTTTTTAACTTATAATAAGATATTTTTTATGTTTTTAAGGTTTTACTTTTTTATACTTGTGACATGGGTGCGTTAATAAGACGATTCATGTGACGGAAAATTTTAATATTTATATATTTTGTTTATATGATATATAATAATACGTAATAATACAATTATTACTTAATTTGAATGAAAGGTAACTTAATGCGTTGACGTTTTCAATTACGAGATACCTACTTAGTTAATAATGGCAGGTGATGAGAAAATTGAGGTTTAATGCTATAAACACAATAGAGTGACGATTAACTCATTTTTTGCCATCAATACATAGTGGTACCTATGTGTATGTGAGCCAGTGAGCCTTGACGGTCAAGGTCATCAAGCTGGTCTTACCCACCACCTCGTTTTCTTCAGCCGTCAGCCCCGGCGTTCCCGAGTCCGAGTGGTCGCTCGTTAGTTCGTTATTCACTGCCTTTATATGCAAGTAGGCAGTCGGCTACCGCGTTTCCCGCTAAAATCGCGTCTTTTTTAATTTTTATATATTTTTTTTAATAATGACCAATATATGGTCGAGTGCAACTTTATTATGTGTGCTAACATTAATATTAGAAGTTACAGATGTACTCACAGTGGTACGTGATTTTTCTAAGTATTTATCCTATTTTCCTCTTATTGTTTCGATATTTTGATGTAAACATCAAAACTTGTTTGTGTTATAGATAGATAACTATGTTCATACTTATAGGTGCATATTTACCTATCTATTAAAAAATTGTGTTATTGATTTATATTGTAAAAAAGAACACGTAAGTACTTAATACTAGCAAAATAGTTGATCCCAATACATTATTTTTCTTTCATAAAAATAATAGTGAACAATAAAAAAAAATCAAATTCGTCCTCTTTCTATGTGTTGGTATATTTAGGATTCTTTTTCAGGGAGGGTCTCACCCTTAAAAAAGGGATCGTTGATGAATGTATACAAGTAATTAAAATTAATCTATATCTATACTAATATTATAAAGAGGAAAGATTTGGTTGTTTGTTTGTAATGAATTAACACAAAAACTACACAACCGATTTTAAAAATTCTATCACCTATAGAATGCTACATTATCAGGGAGTGATACAGACTATATATTATTTTAGAAAATTCTTTTTATCTATGCAAAGTAGGGCCGCACCGCTAGTTGCGTATGAAACAGCAGATAAAATTTACTTATTTTGAAATATTATTAATTATATATAATTAATAAATATTATTCAAATAGGTAACTGACCTAGGCAGCCAGGTCGGTAGATATTATTAAAAAATGATTATGAATGAATGAATTAAAAAATGGTTGATAATCAGTTAGGTTAAAAACGCGCTTTAAATTAAGTAAAAAAATATCTTTTCAAATACAATCATTGCGTACATGGTTCATTGAGCACAATTAATAATAAAAAAAAAATCAATATTTTAATCGAAAAGGACGAAATAATATTCGTAATAGTAATTTTCGCGAAGAAACTGTGTGAAAGCTTAGAGCCGATCGTTCGCTTATTAAAGCCATATATAAATAGAAGTATTTGAGAATGACAGAAATGCGAAATTAGATAGAAACAGAATGATAGGATGTATAGCTAAGAACAAGGTGTAAACGTAATAAACTTGTTTAAGTTATGACGTAATCTACGAAAAAAGTATACACACGAGATGTATACTTAAATTAAAAAAAACATGTTAATTTATCTACATTTATATATATATATATATATATATATATATATATATATATATATATATTTTTATATACTACTTAGAATGGCAAACAAGCTGACGGCCCACCTGATGGAAAGTAGTAACCGTCGCCTATAGACATGAGCAGTACCATGGACATAATAGAGTATACTGTTTCGCCCATGATATATATATATTTATATATATATATTTATATATATATATTAATAGATTGATTGATATTTTTATTTAAGTCGTAATATATTACATATACTACATACATACATACATTACAATGAACAAGTAACTTATATTACAGTATTATCCATTTAATCCTGTATATTCTACAATAAAATTACCAATTGAATATAGGTTTAGTGTTGTGATTATTCACATGAACGATTCTTGGTTTCTATCAGTGTAAATATTATGCTAGAGAATTTCATGCATGAGAACATCAAGCAATCATGGTGCATATTTATTGCAAATAAAGGCAAAGCGGGAAGTGTTTCGCAACTGGTATAAGCCTGCATAGTGTCTCTTAGTTACTATGTAGACTCACGCGCCTTAAAAGGCACGTTTCCATAAATATCCGACATGAAACGTAGGACGAAATCTATTCGTCTATATATTTTTTTTTCCGTAATCACAAAGCTTTTATCTTGCATTAAAGAAAAACCACAAGAAAAGTTCGTATATGCAAGGTTTGATATTAGAATCCATTTGAAATTCTTCTATTGTTGTCCTTCGTGTCGCAGTGAGAGATATGTACATTTGTTTTGTGTACCTACTGAATTGTGCCCCTCCGACATTTATCATAAGGTTTTTTTTAATTGAGAACGATATTAGATATTACTGACTGTGTCTATATATTTATTAGAATATATACGAGTAAATACATTGTTACGTATAATAAATTTTTTAGCTAATTAAATGAAAGTATACTATTCAATAATAAAATATCATAGGTACATAATAAAATTGAAACTTAACGATGTTTTGTGTATGTTTGTGTATGTATATTTGTACGGTTTTGTCTGTTTAAAAATTGTCATAATATTTATACTCTGCTGTATCCGTTGACATTGATGCTCCTTTCCACTTTGGGTTTGCTGGAAGAAAACTCTATCAAAGTTAAGTTCGCCTTTGTACTTTTGATTATCTCTGTCATATTCTTATAGTGTGTACAATAAAGAATTAAATAAAAAAAATAAATAATGTTTTTGTACGTGGGAGATATTTTAGAAAAAATGTTATAAGGGGTTTTAATAATGGCAATAGAAGCCAAATCAATCATATTAGCAATTTTGATTGTCTGTCGGTGTGTCTATCTGTCTGTATATTTGTTCTGGCATTCATGGCATGGCATTTCATGGCAATTGTGAAAATAACTCCAAATTGGGCGTTATTTTCACAATTGCGTTCCTGAGGGTCAAATTTAAAATCTGGTATATGTTTCATCTAGATAAGCCATCTAGAAGTACTCTCTTTTATTGTGTTATCAACTGCTGAAATCCACTTGTACTAAATAGAAGACAAAAAGCTAGTTTATTATCTACACTAATATTATAAAGAGGAAAGATTTGTATTTTTGTGTGTGTATGTTTGTAATGAATAAACTTAAAAACTACTTTGCCGTTTTAAAAAATTCTTTCACCATTAGAAAGCTACATTCACGCTAAGTAACATAGGCTTATTATTGCTAGAAAAGATTAGGGATTCTTATTAAAATTTTAGTAACGTAGCTCAAGGTGTAAAATATGCTATAAAATATCTTTTGTCGCGTGCGCTGCGGAAATTATAATTGCTGATAGAACAAAAATTTGTACTACAATATTGAAGAAAATATCAATAACTACAAAAAAACCATGCGATACTATATGTCCAACTATTATCGTTATGTCACAATAACCTCTGTTTAAAATGTTGTAAAAATGTCCACCCGTGCGAAGCCGGGACGGGCCGCTAGTATTATATATATTTATAATTACTGGTATTGTACGGGAACACAAATAAGCAGATAAGTTTTTCATAAATAACAAGAAGATTCATAACTAATTAATTCGTAGATGCTTGGATAAAGGGATTTATTGAAACTACGTAGATATATTAGTTTTAAATTTACATATGGTGTAATAAGTATCTAGTTAAAGTTTAAAATTACGTAGCCATATATTAGAAAACAAAATGTTAAAACTAGGTTAAATAGTTTTTAATAGGTAAAGCAATAGGGATCACGTGCCAGAAATATCTGTGACACGTGTCATGGTAGAGTGAATCCTTTGATGTAGAGTAGTGATTTTTAACGTGTGGGTATTGATCCCCCAGGGGGTTAAGCCTCTATGGAGGGGGGGGGGGGTTCGAAAACTACCTCAGTAAAAGAAAATAAAGTTATAAAGATAGATTCATTAAGAATAATGATAATTATTTTTATGTAAATACAAATTAACGAAAAAAATATAAACTTATGACTCGTCCATGCGCAGGTAAAAAAATTTACTTGATCCAAGAAAGACATTTTCAAGAATTTGATTATTTAGCATAAAGAAAAATAATACTTAAATCAAATAAACTTTCTTAGTTTCAATAAACTTTATTCCTCAAAACTATTTTCTTGGGTCAAAATTTTTTTCTTGTATCAGTGTCGGATTTGGTCGTACGTACACGCGTAAATCACGTTATTAATTTAGCGACGGATTCGATCTAGAAATATGTACATAATTTTGTATTTATCCGAAACCTAATTATGCAATTTCATCTTTCTTCTCGTACGGTGTATGTGTATGGTGTTTTGTTACCTTGCCTATTACCTATGACAATCGCGGGATGAAGTGCTAACATACTGCATTACGGAAAATTAACATAGATAATTTTATTTTGAATTATTTTTTTAAATTTCTCATTTTCTTTTAAATATATAAAATGTATCCAACATTTACATGTCTGTGTATATCGAAACATGTACGTATGCTTGTTGTAACACCATGTATCTCATGTTTCAAGTGAATAATAAATAAATAAATAGCATTTTAACGAATTAACATAGATGACTTCTGTGGCGCAGTAGTGGTAGTGCTTGTCGTAAATGCGATCTCAGTTTTGATTCCCAGTCAAGCCAGTTTACAAGTAGGATCTAGGTGTTGTGGATTGTGTCACCAGATGTTCGCTAGCTAGTTTCTCATAACACAGGGTATCCTAGCTTGAAGATCAGGTGATTGATGTAATTGTATGTATAGCACTTATTAATATTTTATTGTATTATTCCATTTGGGAAAATAAAATTTATTTAGAAAAATAAAATACCAGTGAATGTCAGCCGACCTAAAATTTATGACTACACTTATATTAAAAAAAAGACGGTTTTATTTCGTGAAATAATGGATCCATGCTGTGAAGCATAACTGAGCAGCTGTGTCATGGACACGTATAATTATGGCTAAATACGAACATGAATTAATAGCTTGTTTATGGGAAACTTACTCACCGATACTCATACACAAGTAATCCTTGACATCTTTTGTAGTCCGCTATTTTCGTGAATTGTACATATAAGTAGGTACCTTCTCAGGTACCCATGTATCTTAGGTAAAAAAACCAAGCAGGTCAAGATTCAATTAAGGAAAATGAATGTACACCTTTTGAACAGAACTTTGTCTTATTCGTTGATTTTGTTAATGAATTATGACTAAATAAATTCAACACCGAGAATGGTTTAGCAAATAAACAATTGTGTATGTGAATAAATTTTTCAACTTGAAAATAGAGCCACCATATACTACTAGTTGCACTAAATTTATTATTTTATTAATATTAATTCGTATGAAAGAAATCTTAGAGATCGTTTCTGCTTATGATATGTTTTTGAATAGATTAGTAGTTTATATAATGACTTAGTCACAGATAATATAA